ACCAGACCCCAGCGTACTAGATATAATAATTATAATATTCCTTAACAAGGCTAAAGCAAATATATAAAACCATGGTGTAGAGTATAGACAGTAGCAGTACTGTTGGTAATTTTAGACTTGAGCACAAATTCCTTCTCTTTCAGTCTCTTAAGCTATGGTCCTTTCAAATTATAATATAATAACTTCTGATCAGCCTATTATGAAAAATGTAAAACGTACATAAATAGTACTTGTGCTCACTTTACCAGCTTTATCCTTGTGTGTTCAATTCTTGCTAAGTTTTCTGAGTCCATAATACATATGCTAATAGGTAGATTATCAACATGAGCTAAAGTAACCGTGTGAAATATTGATATGACCTATCAGCTTGACATTTATATTGATTCCAGGCCCCGAAGTATCTAATATAATACTAGAAGAGTAATAGTATAGCTTTAAAGCTTACTTCAAAAACATCAACATAGCTGGAAATACCATAGTGAATCAAAAGTTCGATGTGCCATCTTGTGTGAGTATTACTCATGAGTCATGGATGTATTGCAGACATCTAGTACAGTGCCTTTAATGATGCCTAATAATTGATATTTCATCATTTTAACTCATGTTGTTTGTGTAAGCCATTCATGTTCCCAATTCCCAATCATAATTGACAAATGCTTCAAAGCTTTAAGCCTAGGGTTGTTCAATTCTGCAAACACAAAAAAAATTAGCCAGTTTGCGTTTACAACAACACACTTAATCTAGGGCAGTTAAAACCAGCAGGAGTATTAAATATCATCTAGAATGTATAACTAAAATAATAACAGAATAACAAAATAACATTTTAGACCATTTCGCCTACCAGTTAGAATGTACCTCGGTGAGCAGGGTGTACCAGCTTCTATTTGCTTTACCCAGTCCCAGCTCAAACAGACTAAGTCTTGTATGCAGTCATGGACACCAAATTATGTAGTTTCCCAACTAGAATGTAGTTTCCTTAATGTTTCGAATCATGAGCCTAGTTAATTGTACAGGGAACTATACGTCGTTGATGTCCGACATTTTTCCAGGCGCTGGATCTTAGACAGCATAACTATGGTACCAAATATGAGTCTTCACGTAAATTGGGTCCATCAAATTCAGGTTCAGTGAATCTTTCTCTGGATGGGCATTGGGTAGTAATTTAAACCCGGTTTCGAAAATTTAGCGACCAGCATTTGATGATTGTTTACTTATTGTCGCATAGCATGCATCGTAAAAAAGGATAAAAGATATTCCAAACAAGTAAAGTGTTCATGAACTCTGGAGTCTGGAGCAATTCGATGACTTGAATGATCCATCATATTATTTGGGGCTCGGACAATAAGGGCACCAAAAGCTGTTGAAAATTGGACACATTCAACAATGTACCACGTACTTGAAAAAAATTGACTATGATTTGGACTCATTATGTAACTTTGTGATCCCAGGTTCTCAACTCTAGGATATGAATAATTTGTTCTTCAATCACAGATTCCTCAAAAAGATAGAACGACTATCAAATATGAGTACACACGCCATCCAAATATCCTAGTCTTATCCATACCACCCATCAAATATCAAATGCTTTGCAGAATTATACCTATGAGAGATAACTTGAGACCTAGCTTTGGAAACCGAAATCAACTTGATGTATTCATATGCTTTGACCTTATAAACTTTTAAGTTTTCAACCGTTGAGAACAAGCATGTACACAGATGGCAAAAACCAACCCACAAAGTAATCAATAACATCCACAGAAAAAAAATCCCACAAAGAGAGTACCAAACTTCAATAACCTTACCACAACGAATGAACCAGCTGCTGTGACTTCTGTCCAATTTTGACACAATCAAACCTCCAGTGTTCTACTGATCTGTATAGTTCTTCGCGTCCATAAGTTTGCGAACCTGCTCGCGGCCTAGAATATTGGTTCATGCACTCTCAGATGTACCTTTAGGTAAGCAAGGTACATGATACCGTAGACTTATATTAACAAAATATATACCAAACTTATGCTTTTTTTCTGGAAAAATATGTGATTAACTGTTTAGCCTCTCGGTTATAGCCATATTATTACAATAGTATCTTATATTCAATTAGAAGAACGCAAGAGCTGCTCTTAATGTAACGAGTAAAGGAACTATACTTTGGTATATAGAATCAATGCGAATCGATGAAGATATCTCCATCTTCCTGATCATGACGTTTGAGCTGCCATTTATCCACCAATATGGTCTGAAGACGAATATGAATCTATAAATAATTAGTAGGTGTAGTATAAGAGACGACGACAATGTCTGTCTGTATATTTTGAGCTCATATATACATGCTCTATTGAAAGTCGAGTACGACTGCAGAAGATTTAACTTTTTTGTTAAATGAACTCTAATCCTATTTTTTGAACGATTGCTTATATATATATATTATAAATCTAAAGCCAATATGACGCTTTGATATATTAATGCAATCTACTAACAGCAATGGAACCATGATTTCTAAAATTTCTAGGTTTATGGTTAAAATCGATTGTGAAGTTTGGTATAACTATATCAATTTTGAAACCAAATCTCAACCAATGTGCTCATTTATTGGAGCTTTGACACTAAAAAAAAAATATCTTATCCAAAACTATCATTCGATATTTGAATATATCATATTGAAACGATTTGTTATCATCAAAACCTCATTGATTTGATAATCCTTGTAGTTATTTAAAATATATAGTAGTCTTGCAAATAGATAATATTTCATTTTTTAATAATCAAATGTGTTCCTTGCATCAGCTGAATTCATGATGTGCCATTTGATCCTATCAATAAAGTGGTCTGTTAGATTTTCATTGTTAAATGCCCTTATATTCGCATTTTCGATCTTTATATTGAATGATAATACTTTAACTGTCAGGATGAAGACGTGGATTATTTCAACAGCCTGTGGTAATATTTTGAAGAGAGGTTATTAAAAAAACTGATCAAAATGTTAAACATAGTCAATGATGAAAGGCTCAATAATAAGTCAAGTTTTGTAATTCAAATACCTAAAGATCATAAAAATTCACAAGCACAGACGATTCATATGACAGCTTCCGTCCAATTAATGTATACCAGCTTGTATTTCAATGCCAAAGATAACCCATAGAATTAACGCTTGATATATCATTATTATATGCAAATAGCAGCTATAGCAGCCTTTTGAAGGTATAATGTGATCTGGAAAAAGAGAAATTCATTTGCAAAATATCAGCACCTTTTGAAAAAAATAAATCTTTCTATCCTAAAAGCTGAATATGAACCCAGGCCCTGAAATCTGTAATTAGTAATGTTTGGGAAAGAATTAAAACTCATATCTGAAGTAAGTCATGTTTCAAAGACCTATGAATTAAAAATACCATAAACAATAAAGGTAAAAAGTAATTAGGAATGGGCGAGGGTTAGCCACGTATTGGCTAAAGTTTAACAGCTCACAAAATTGGTTTTCAAGATTAGCATAAAGTAGGCTGAACAATTTGACTTAGGTACAAAACTTCAAAAATTAGCGGTACCAATTCCAAACTCTAAATTGCACATCTATAACCTCAGTATCCTTGAAAACAGCTCTTTGTAAGTCCAATGACTACCCAAATTTCAAATGATACTGATTCCCAAGCCTTCACGACAATGCACTGTTAGACCTGAACGAAACATTAAAACTGCAAGCCTAAAACCAGGTACGACATGTCTTTTCAAATTGTAAGCGATTCCACACTTTCTCTAGATTTCAACGGAATTCATGGTAAATAACAGTGATTGGCAACTACTGGATAAAGTTCAAGCAAAACATTCACCAGGTAAAAACAAACAACCAAAAGTATTTAAGTGAAGATTTATTCGTACAATAATGTGTCTCACAATTTTCACTAAACAAACCTCACTTTCTCGAGCAGTAGTTAGTTGAATTTTTGAATTTTAATATCCTGAATACCAATGAATTTTCTCTGAATCTGAAAAATGGACTTTGTTATGGTAAGACCTAACAGACCTGCATAGCATCAGAGCATAACAGGTATAATTAAGGTGGATTGTCTTACTCACGAACATAATGGCAACAATTCCAGCTCAGAACACAATATTCAACACATTGTACATATATATGTTTTTAGAGCTTACAAAATGCACAATGTTTGAGCCTCTTGAGGGTCTAGTCTAGTTCATAGGAACACTTGATTTGATTTATGAAATGTAACCTTTTTTTTCCTCAGCTTGACTAAACGAAGGAAATGAATTAGCTCGTCAATAATATAAAGTCCATAGCCAATAGAAGTTCCAGGTGAAATTTAAGTGAATTATGCACAATCAATTGTCAATAACATCAACCTAAACAACCTTTTTGTTTTTTTAAATTATAACCAAGTCTTCATCTCATCCCGATCAGGCGATAGCGTGATAATTTGGCGCATTGTAAGCTTCAGTCTTTGTAGATGAAAATAACACACCCAGAATAGATAGCAGCCCAAAAGTTACAACATAATTTGCAGATTTAAGTACGTACCATGACTTATTATCGACACCAACCAAGCTGGAACACCGAGCATAATAACCTTAAATCCCAATTGACACTCATTGATAAAGCCAAAGTCAACCCTGGAATAATAATCAGCTCAAAATAGCGACATTTCAAGAATAACAGAATAGAAGCCCAAGGTGAAGCGACATATGAGCTCACTAAGTAATAAATAACTGATTTATCCATCAAGATCCAGGATTGAATATACCTAATTAGAAAGTCGCGTTGATGTTTCTTTTCCGGTTGGTACAACATCACTGAAATCACAAATCTATAGTAATACCTTTGTTTAACGTTATAACGTCTTGGAAATATTAACATAAGAGGAGATTAGATATATATTAAGATTTGTACTTCAATATTTAAAGATTGAGTTATGACTTCATACGTCTTTTTTTCGAAAATGCCAGTAATTGTGTAATTTGCAATGCTATATAATATATGATCTGGTTGATCATCACAAGATTAAAACCTCATCGTCATCATCTTCACCAGTCAAAGATTTGAAAAATGGTAAGCTTAAGATAGTTTTAGCTGTACTTCTTTTCCAAGAATCTAGTTCAAAACAATGTTTGATAACCTCAATTGCATCCTGGTGTTGCTTCTTGAATTTTATATCCCTTTCTGTATCTTCTTCATTATAGACAATATGTCCATCTTCATCAAATATTCTTAAAGTATCATACCCAACACTATCAATAGGTAGTGTTTCCATTTCGTGTTCCATCATGAGACACCAATGTATCAATTCCTCGATACTCAGGGACGATCCAAAATTAAGGAAACTTGAATCCAATCCTAGACCATGAATATGAGCACATTCTTGCATTTTTCTTAAACCAAAGATGGTTGTTAGTTCAACCAACGCATCTATATCATCAGGAGAATTGAAAAAGGGAAACCTTCTAGTGAGTAGGGTTAATAATATTACACCTGCAGACCAGATATCAATCTTTCTGCTTTGGTTTGGGCATTTAAACAAAACTTCAGGAGCTCTAAACCCCCTGGTACCAGCTCTATTAGCTCTTCTACCTGGTCTTGGATCATCCTTTGGATACCCTTTAACAACATCAACATTAGCATACCGTTCACGATTAACACATGGACAATAATTTACAGCATTTGTGTCATGTGTGGTAGGCGGGAACTCTTGCTCGGCTAAACCAAAATCAACAAGAACACCTCTTTTCTTGAAAGGATCATAAAGGAAATTTGTTGGTTTAATATCTCTATGGATGATCTTTTTATCATGAACAAAATTTAAGGCTTCAAACATTTCAAACATATAAACTTTGATACCTTCAAGAGGTAAATCTCTGAAAAATTCTCTAAAATCTGAGTGTGCATAATATGGTAATACTGCAATAATTTGATCTTGAAATCTCAACGCCTCTAGAAGTGGTGCTATTCTTGATGAACCTGATAATATGTATAACAAGTTCAACTCATTGAAAATTCTTTGTGGTGAAGATGTGACATAAATTCTTTTCAATGCAACATATACAGTGGAGGGTTTTTTATGAGTTTTTCTCTTCTTAATATCAGGAGAGCTCCATATTGAATCACCCATGAGATATCTTGTCTTACCAGTAATATCCTCTGCTTTATAAACAGTTGAAAAAGTACCTTCACCAATCTTATCGATAAGTCTATATTTTTTATCCAAGTTCTCAAAGGTTTCAATAACTTTTTCCATTTCTTCCAATATTTCTAAGGGTACATCATCATCTGATGGAGGCCTTGTAAGTTCTGCATGTGGTAATTTGTTTGATTTTACTGGCTGTTTAGACTTCAAATCTTGTTTAGTAGATACATCACTGATTGATTGATCTTGAGAATGATCTTGCTTTAAAATTGAGCTGTTGTTGGCGCTAGTTGAATTATCTTGAGAAGGTACATCTGCTTTTTGTTTCTTCAAGAATGGCGAGTTCATTTTGAGTTCTTTGACAGGTTTAGCTGCTGGATCATTATCTATGAAAGGGTCATCGGATTTTCTGATGCTGGTCTTTGGAGTTCTCTCTCTCCGGCTCAAAGAGGCGAATGTTTTGGAGTTTATGGTGCTTTTGGAGGGTGATTCTTTTGATCCTGATTTTATCCTTTGAACAAATGGGTCATCTAAGTCGATTTTTTTTTCAGCTACCGGGTTTGAAGCTTTTGATTCATCCTCTTTGTCAAGACGATACACTTGGAAAGAATCTTTCTTTGGCGATACGCCATCAACCTTGCTTTGCCACATATGTACAATAAATGAGTCTGGTAATCTGAAGTATATCCTTCTCCCTTCTTCCTTTAGCCGCTGTGTTAGTTTTGATGTGAAAATATTTTGAGATCTGGATCGATTTCTAGTGTTTGATGATCTTTGTTTATATCAAATTTTCTAGTAATTTTAAATCAAAATAGACGCGCGTGAAGATTTGTGACGCCAAACCGGGTTCGCGAATTTCCGACTTTGTTGATGGCTTTGTGAAGTAAATAAAGAACAGCACAAAGCTTTCATAGATCAGATCAGATCAGATCAGCATTTTAAAAGTCAACGAGAACCCCAACAGATTTCAATTCAGTTACACCTTAGTGATATTTTTGATATACGTCAAAATAGTCATTGGTCAAAGTTTTCAGCTCAATCTCATATACAAAACATTCCACAAATGCTGTTCACCAGACTTACATTGTTCTGTGCATTCCTTGCAATTGTTAATTGTTCAGCTTTGACATTCGTGCTTAGAGCGGAAGAACATTCATGCTTCTATATTTTTACAGACAAGCCTAAAACAAATGTTGGTTATTATTTTGCAGTTCAATCAGGTGGTTCATTTGATATAGATTACACAATTAAAGCGCCAGATGGTAAAGTTATAGTAAATGAAGAAAAACAAAGACAAGGTGATTGGGTTTTCAACGCTGAAGTTCCAGGTGAATATGAATTCTGTTTCTCTAATGGTATGTCAACATTTGCTGAAAAAGTTGTTGATTTTGAAATAAATCTGGAAAATGATTTCAAAGCTTCCTTACCAAAGTCAGGTAAACAACCTATAGCTGTTGAAGGTATTGATAACACAATTGAGAATTTAGATAATAAGATCAACGGTTTGTTGAAATCACTACAATATTACAAAACAAGAAATAATAGAAACCAATCTACTGTCAAATCAACAGAAAGTAGAATTTTATGGTTTTCAATTTATGAAGTTGCTCTTATTGTTGGTATGGCCATATTACAAGTTGTTGTGGTCCAACTATCATTCAAAGATTCAAGAAAGCAAGCTGTATGATTCAACTTTATTTATATATATATGATATGTAAACATATGTTCCCACAGATATGTCATTACAATGCAGGTACCGTAGTGTCAATTAAAATTTAATTTAACTAACATGAATAGTTCTGGTCCAAGATTAATCATATTTGATTTCAGTAACATCTTAGTGTCTGAAATTTGAGCTTCAAAGACATATATACGTTCTCAATATTGGTACTTCGTTCAAAATCATGTTCATGTGGGACTCTGATTATGCTGAACTGTATCAGATTTAAGATAATTTTAGAAGAAGAACATCATGAAGTGATTGCTTTCTTTAATAAATAAAGCATCATAAACTTGCTGTCTGATGTATGGGATTATAGATGGTAGTTTAGCCTATTGTAATGATGATAGATATGATTAGATTATATATAATATATTAAAACCTAATTATATTATATCGGAATAATCATCCCAAAAAGGATAAGCGAGAGAAATCAGCTAGTGATCAAGATTCATCAATATCCCGATAATGTAAATCTAATTAAGCTGTTTGTCACAAATAGGATCTTAATTCAAAGTATATATGTAGTCTGTAGATGGTTATGCAGTCCCATAGTATGATCATTGATCAGTAATATCACTTTAAAAAAAATGATTTAATGCGGAAGCACGAGGAGTTGTTCAATGTTCGATCATTAGTTATAGATTAATAAAAGCTGTACGCCGAATATCGTGGACTCAGTCTGACATATTTCATAAGCTTAAATAGGTGTTACTTGTGTTACTGTATGGACCTTGCTGATCTGTAATAGTTACTACTTGACGAAGAATATTCATGTCTTAGACACAAACAGCAGAATCTTGCAGAGACACTTCTGTAAAACATTCTACCCTGATGAGACTAATAGTAGTCTAAGTTTATAGTTAATACTGCAGTTAGCCTGTATGTGTAGGTCAGTTACCTATAGCTGTAATGAGCTTGAGCCAGCTCGAGATATCATTGAATTTAAAATTTAAAATTTAAAGCAATGAGTTTAACAATTATACATGTGAAGCTCACGAGCTTTGATCTTATATATAAGGTCACTTTTCGCTAAGGTTGTTACAATACAAGTGGGCCTCTCATTAATCGTTATACTCTAGTCTGACGTTAGACAATGTAGTCTCAGCTTTTTGATTTACTAATTCAATGATTCAAGTCTTCAAAATTCAAACTTTATAAGTGACTTCGTAAAGATCATAACTACTTGTTGGGTTCAAATGGAATAACGTGGACTTCAAATTCAATTGCTCCATTCTTGAAATCCACAGTCTTATCGATTATTGAGCACATTCAGAGTTTGCTACGATAAGATACAATATCAAGTGACTACTGTTTGCTAATTTTGAAAACTTTATGTCTATTTGTGCTATGTGTGTGTTAGCTAAAGAAGTAGCTTATATGAAGTTGATAAATAAAATAATAATGGTATGAATATGATAAATTGTAATGCAAACTAATTAGAAGTATCTTTCTCATTATTTTGGATACTAATGATGACCCCTTTTCTCTAGTATTGTTTTACCAAATGGGATCTCAGAATGTCCCTTATCAACCGCAAATATTGAATTACCTCTCAATACAGTTTCCATAACTCTACCTTGTAAAGTTGATCCATTATAAGCGGTTAGTTTATTCTTGAAGTGAGTTTTAGCATTTTCAATAGTTTGTTGAGTGAAAGGATCAAATATAACTAAATCAGCATCATTACCAACTTTAATTGAACCCTTTCTATGTGATAATCCAACTTGTTTTGCTGTATTTTTTGAAGTCCATTTAACAATATCAACTAGACTAACTGGTGGTGATAGTTTTAAACCTTCAGTATATAAAACTGGTAAACCTAATCCAACAGATGTTATACCACCCCAAGCTGAGAAAAAATCACCTTGAGCTAAATTTTTCAATTCTGGCGTACATGGTGAATGATCAGAAACCACAGTTGTTATAATATCATTTCTTAAAGCATCCCAAAGTTTTAATCTATTTTCATTTGTACGAATTGGTGGACAACATTTGAAGAAAGTTGAACAATTTGGTATATTTTCAGCAAATAAAGATAAATAATGGAAACAAGTTTCTGCAGATATTTTCAATCCACGGTTTTGAGCTTCTAAAAGTATTGGAACAGCATCTTGAGTTGCTAAATGAACAATATGTAATGGAACAGATGGTGTTTTTTCAGCACATGAAATAATAGTTTTAATAGCTTCAACTTCAAAAATATCAGGTCTTGAAGCTAAAAATGATGCATAAGAAGTTGGGTCAACATTTGTTAATTCATCATGAGATTCTGAAGCTTTCAATAATGGTGATTGAACTTTATTATCATGATGGACAACATTTGATGGTATCCCAGTGGTTGGTTCAGCGGCTATTAAAGCTTTTGAAGATGCCAATGATTCAATTTGTTCATCTGTCAAGTTTTTATGAATGAATTCTAGATCATCTTGATGAGTTGGTAATAGATTACTTTTATGTTGAAGATTTTTTTTAATATTATCTAAAGGTTGATTATGATGAGTATGACCATTACAATTTGTATGATTATGACCATCACCATTTGAATGACCATTACCATTCATATGACCATTACCATTTGAAAGTCCATTTCCGTTCATATGACCATTACCATTTGTATGAGATTTTAAATATGAATGACCATTCCCATTACCATTCATACTTTGTTGACTGAATCCAATATTTAAATCTTCAATTTCATCAATATGTTCAATAGTTTGAAGACCATGACCATTTTCACGAGGTTGCATTTCAGCATGGAACATGATTAAAGTATCATAACCTTCAACTAATTTCAATGCTTTATTAACATAATTTTCATTAATTGCAGGAAATTCATCAACACCTGAATCAATTAAAAATCCTTTGAAACCTCTAACACCAGCATTAATTAATGGAACCAAATCATTCAAATTACTTGGAATTAAACCACCCCAAAATCCAGTATCAACCCAAAGTTGACCTTTAGCAGCTTCTAATTTTATATTAAAATTTTCAATAGTTGTAGTAGGTGGAATGGCATTTAATGGCATATCTATAACCGTAGTAACACCACCAGCGGCAGCGGCTTTAGTACCAGTTTCAAAACCTTCCCATTCAGTTCTTCCTGGTTCATTTAAATGAACATGAGCATCAACAAGACCAGGCATGATGAAATATGGGGAAACATTTCTATAATTTGTTGGTTTAACATCATAAATTTTCAATATTGGATCATTAATTGATACAATTTTATTGAAAATTTCTAAAATTTTACCAGATTCTATTGAAAAAATTATTGTAGCTTCAATAACTTGATCATCAATAATAACATTTGTTGATGAAAGAGCTCTTGACATGTTTGTATATAGTATGAGCTTTAAGTTTTTGATTTATGTATGGTTGACTAAGTTGTATATGCAAGGAATATTCTTCAGCTTCTTAATCACTCCAGATTTTTGCAGCTTAGATTCTATGTTTGTTGTATGAAATGAAAATGTGTCAAATGTAGGTGTAAAAATGAATAAAATGCAACCAAAATTTCAAGTTCTAAACAGTTAGTTGTGTTTTTCTAGTTAAATTTTGATGATTTTAACACTTTTTTGAACTTTTTCCGGCCTTATCAGTAAAATTTAGATCAGCTTTGGACTTTACCGATGTTATCTAAAAAGAAATGAATGTAATATAAAAGCTTGAACTTTACCAAGTTTAAAATAAACCACTTGTAAAAATCACCGCTGTCTATTTCTATATTCTATAACTCAAGAACTGATTTCTTCAACAGGTCAGTATGGGAAAAGTTTAAAAGAAAGAAGAATAAAAGATTCATGAACTTTTATTCAATCCACAGATCTGTTGCAGTAACCATGAAGACTCACCAATATGAATAGTTATTAATAACGAGCATTAACAGACCTTAACCAATACAGTGCCGGTGTGCCACTGCCTATTAAAAAGCGGCACATTATCCCACATATTAAAATATCATCAAAATCCCAATCACTATTTAATCACTAATAATATTGAGCTCAAAAGGATTTCGCCGGTCAGAATTTCAGATAAGATTCGAAATAATTTTTTTCAGATTTCATCAAAGCCGAATTTTGCACCGCGGTAATCGGCGATAGCCCAAAATAGCAGAGTCTCGAAATTTAAGATATATTTCCGATCGGTTTAACCTACTATAGAAGGTCTAAATTTAACTTCCATTCTCAACTATATACTCTATACACGGTTTTATTAATTCTTTGGTATGATCATATACCATATCTTGATCTTAATTCTTCTGGATTATCTATAGTTTGTAAGAAATTACTCCAATTATCTCCCAACATTTCTTTATAACCAATTAATAATTTTTGGAAAATTTCAGCTAATTTTTGTCCTGGACTTAAATACATTGTAATTGAATTAACAAATGCAATTAATGATTCATTATTGAAACCTGTTGGATTTGCTGATATTATATTACAAATACCTTGGAATGCTGTTTCTTTTTCTTCATTTTCTTCTAAATATAACATATGTTTTGACCATTCTAATAAAAATTCTTGAATATGTGTACTGAAAAATTCTGGTGAATTAATACCGATTCTTCCAATTGTAATAGCTGAATTTTCTAAAACTGTTGCTGCTGTGGTAGAATTTGAATTTAATAAATCAATTAATGTACCAACTAATTTTTCCAAATATTTATTTAAATTAATTCTTAATGAAATTTCACCTAATGCCCAAGTTGCATTATTAACAACTGCATAAGAATCAAAATTTCTTGCTAAAATTTCTCTATCAATTGATAAGATAACTTGATCAAGGTATGATCCAAGAGTGTTTGGGATATAAATTGCAATATCACCTAATAATGCATAAGCAGATTGACGAACATCATCAGTTGGATCATTAAAACATTCTAATAATAATCTAATCAGATGTTCATCAATTAATTCACCACTATGTTCGGTTAAACCTTGACATAATCCATCAATTAAATCTAATGAAGTTACTATAAAATCCTTTTCTGGTGTATTTATAGTTGGATCTTGAATAACTTGTTTATCTAATGTAATACAATGTTCTAAAATTCTAATAGATCTTTGATAAACTTGAATTGCATATGGTGCAAATTTTTCACCTAATGAAGCTGCAACTGATGACATACATTCTAATAATGGCCATAATTCTTTATCTTCATCATTTAAAATTTCCCATTTTTTCAACAATGGTGGTAAAATTGCTTGAATTGATTCATCATCAATTTCAATTCTTTCAACAAATGTTTGAATTGCATCATATAAAACAACTAAATTTTTTCTTTGATATTTTTGGAAACATTGTTGGAAATTTTCAACTAAAGCTTGAGCAAATGGTTGAATTAATTCTGATTCAGAATTTTCAATAAATTGAGCTAATGAAGAACATGCAGATTCTTGAACCATTTTCTTTTTATCAAGAGTACATGATACTATAGATTGGAAAGTTGGAGCAAAATAATTTGAATATAATCCACCTTTATGAGCTTCAGAACAAATCCATGATGAATAACGACCAAGAGTCCAACATGTAATTTGTCTAACACTTGATTCGGTATCTTGTAATCTTTCAACTAAAAATGGAACTAATGCAGGTAATTGATTTGAAGCAAATTCAATACCACCTTCTGCAACTGCACCAAATGCTAAGATTGCAGCTTCTCTAACTGGCCATTCATTTGAACCAATATTTTCTCTTAAAATCGGTAAAACAATTTGTAAAACTTCAGCTGGAGAAACTGATGATAAAACATCTAATGTTGCAGCTGAACATTTTCTTAAGCTCCATTCAACACCATAATCACCTTCTTCATCATCATCATCTTCATCATCATCGTCATTATCATCATTGTCATTATTATTTGTATTTTTTGTAGTATGACTACTTTTAACTTTTGCATTTGTTGGTTTAATATCTTCATCTTTATCTTCAACATCATCATCATCTCTATTATCCATCAAGAAGATATCCATTTCTGAATAAACCATACTTTTCAATAAAACAGGTAAAATAGTTGATAAATAATTTTTAATTAATTCAGATGGGATATCAGAAGTTGCTAAACTTAATAAAAATTCACAAGCTTCTAATGCAACTTCATCTTCACTTGACGTTATTGAATGTAATGAATAATTGATACAACCATCTAAATGAGGTAATAATCTATCAGGTCTAACTTCCAAAACATTTGCAAAAGCAATACAAACATTACGACGAACACTTGGATCTTGATCAGTAGCTAAGGCAAATAATCTTGATAAAAATTCATCAATATGAATTAAGAAACTTTGAGTTTTAGTTAAAATAATTTGATTTAAACAATGTAAAGTATTAGCTCTAACTTTTGAAGATTCTGATGCAGTTAATTGAAGGAATTTTGGAACCATAAAATCTAAAGGTCTTTGACCATTATATTCAGTATCTAAAATATGAGATGAATCTTCACAAATTTTAGCTAAAGCACTTGTTGAAGCTTCTTGACTTGTTATATTACCAGTTTCACTTAATTCAATCAATTGTGGTAAGACTTGAGGCCATTTGGAAATACCTAAAGTTGAAAAAATAGATGTAATAACAGTACCAGTTATATTTCTAACAAATGCATCATCAACTAATAAACCTTTCAAAATATTTTCTAATAAATAATCATTATTCTTAACATTAAAATTCTTAATCATATCATTTTTCAAATTAACACCAGCACTTGCTCTAACTTCAGAAGGAGTTGAATTATCATGAACCAAGATATATAATAAATAATTATGGAAATCTTCTTGATGTTTAGCTTGATCTAAAGCTTCTGTAGCTTGTTGACGTTGTTGTGCATTTGGATACAAAGTACCTGCCAATATTTGTTTTAATTGTTCCACAGAGGTTGGATTTGGTTCCCAGGACATGATATTATAGCATTAATGTGTTGAAATGTGAATGCAATAAGGGCGGTTGTAAGTGGTAAATTTATAGGTTATCACCTCTTTGGTACAAATAACAATACAAATAAAATTTAAATATTTTTTTTTTTGGATCAAGAAGCCCATCGATCTCGAAAAATAAAAATAAAATTAAAATTAAAAAAAAAAAAAAAAAAAATAACAAGTGACAGATTACGTAAGTGAGAATGTGTTACCCGGTGTTGAAGAACTTGTGCTATTAGTGTGTATTTATACAATGGTTGATTAAGTTAGAAATAGAGAGATGGTAATCTTACTATAAACCATTAATGTGAAGCGCTCAACTTGAAGAATTCTAATAAAATAACTACGGTACCATTATTCAAAACAAAGAGATGAAGTTCAATTCGATTAGTTATATTATATACAATGACCATCTGAAATTGAATCCATTTCAATTTCTTATTCATGATTATTTGTAACATTATGCTAACTGTATCACCAAAAGAGTTGCCAGTCTAGATTCATGATCGTCAATAATTCATCATTTCAAAAACGAGATATGGAGAAACAACAAAAACTGCAAGTCCTTAATGTGTCATGAATGAAGTCACAAATATAGGTACCAGGAAGCCTGTATGCCCAATAAATCGTCTCTCCCGCCCCCATAACGGTTTATACCAAGGTTAAAATACATGATTAAAGAATTAAATTGAAAAAAAAAATTAAATTTTACGTGGGAATCAATCTCTCTTATACAAAAATTTACTTTTGTAACTCAGCGGCTATTTTAAACCTCTTTGTACTACAAATCAATAAATTTTGAATCTCTTTGTATGAAGATCTCATGAACTAATTGTTTAATATTGATAATAAATATTGATTAAATCTTATATATAAAGACTTGTTAAAATAATCTTTAAAATGCTAAAACGAATGCAATGTAGTTGGAATAAAACCAAAAAAAATCATTAAAAAAGAGAGTGAATAATTAAATTAACACCAGAAAATGGGAGATAATATGAGTGTAAATGTAAATGCAATTGTATCTATATGAATAAGAACTTGATTATTCAATTAAATTGTTCATTTAATAATCTTAATTTTTCAGCAAGTTCATCCATTTTGGTTAAAGAATCTTTAAAAATATCTTCAATTTCAGGATGTGTTGAAAATCTTTTATTTTTGGAACTGGTTTCATCACTTTGAAATGATAAATCCTTTTGAGTTGAATCATCATCATAATCAAAATCTTCATTTTCATAATTATCAATAGATGTATTTGAACTTGTTATATGTAATGAAGTATTTGAATTTACAAAAGTTGAATTTGTTATATTTGAAAGATTTTTTTTTTCTTCATCAAGACTTATTGGTGATGATAATTTATCATCATCATTATCATCAAAAGTTAAAGTAGTATCATTTTGAGATAAATTTCTTGGGTTAGATTGTAAATCTTCTGATGAAGTTAATTCATCATTCATTAAAACATCAAGCATCCTAATACTTTGAAACATATCAGTAGTACCTTTTGATTGTGGTATATTTCCTTTTTTTTCAAAATCTTCCAAGATTTGATTTCTTAAAGGTTTTTTAAAATTTTGTAAAGGTGGTGTATTACCTGGTGAATCAAATTCTGATGAACTTGGGGAATAAGTACCTATAGAACCTGATGTATTATTATTAACTGAAAAAAAAGCAGTTGGTGCAACTAATGGACTATCATCAAAATCACTTCCACTTAATGGTCTTTGTTGTTGTTGTTTTATTGGTTTAGGTTTTTTATTTATTGTTAATGGAGTTATTGGGAAATTATCACTAACTGAAGCAAATTCATCTCTTTCAGTTGATGGTGTATCTAAATAATTTTTTGAATTTTCATTAAGGTCATTTGTATTTTTTTTATTATTTATAAAATCATAGTCATCATCATAATCATCATAATTACTTTCTTGTTCTTCTTCATAAAGATCTTCATAATCTTCTTCTCTTTCATTATCAGTTTCTTCATTCTTATTATAATTCTCATCAGTTATTAATACATCTTCACTAAATGAAACTGATTTTGATACATTTAAAGAATTATTCTTATTAAAATTTAAACTTGATGAAGAAAATTCTAATGAAGATTTTGAATTTTTTTCTAAATTTTCATTTTTCCAACAATTTAATCTTGCTAATCTTTCATGATAAGTTTCAAGACATTCAGCAGGTGCAAATCCAATTTTACCATCAAATTCCTTTTTAACTAACCACCAATAACTATCTTGATCATTTAATAATATCACAGCATCATCAGGATCTAATTCACAATGAGATGGATCATCACCAGAAAATTCATATAATGCATATAATTTACCAGGATCTAAATCTTTTGGTGGTGGTAATGGAGAATCTATCACGTAATCATTAAAATCATCTTCTTCATCTTCTTCATCTATAATAGCTTTTGTTTTAATTCTTAATGGTTGTTCTTGTTCTTGTTCTTCATCATCTTCTTCATATTCATCTTGAATATCTTTTAATTTTTGATCAAATTTTTTATGAACTATAACACTACCATCACTACTTGCATTACTAGCATTACTTTGAGATCCATTTGAAACAATTCTTTTACGTTCTGTTAAATCATCATCATCACCCAGTAGTTTGGATCCCATGGATCGTAATAGATCCTTCAGTTTATCATCTGACATTATATGCGTATTGTAATATGTTCTATTGTTTTGTATGAAATTCCAAAAGTATAAGTTTTTTTTTGTCCACTATAGTTTTCAAATAAAAAAAAATATTGATCTAATCAACTTTTGATACCAAAATCAATGAAACTAGAATCTTTAAATATATGTAACAGCCCTTCCAAATAGTTGTTGTTTAATTAAAAAAACAATGTTTTTGTTTTCCAATTCAAAACACCAAATTTTTTTGTTGATGTTTGAAGTCTCAATTTATTTTGGATCTGATATTCCTGATTCCTTTCGTGTACCAACAAAAATTTGAAGTAATTTTTTCGCTTCCTGTAAGGGTGACGCGTTTTAAAATTGAAACGTAATTAAAATTAAGGACTTTGTTTTGGAAATGATAATAGACAGAGATGTTGAATATTGTGAGGCTGATTATATTCTGTTTATTTGGTATTTCTTTCAGTGTATTGTATCTTTTAGGTCGTAGTTTATGTGATGTTTCTAATGTTATTATTCCCTATGCTAAAAAAAGACTCGCGATATACTGAAACAATAAAGAAACTCACTACAGCCACCAAGAACAGTTCTAGATATACACAGTAGAATTAAGACCACTAGTTGTTCTTAATATAATCTAGAAGAATGAGTAAGACATATTGTTGACTGATTCTTAGGAAGTAGATTGGTTACTGAACGGTGAACCCTTGATTTGTTTGGTTCCTGAATTTTAGCGTGCCTTTAAAATCAGTTATGCGTCATTGGTTATTTGTACCTTACGTTAATTAAATATGTTGATCTCTTGGGAACAATTCAATGGAATCACCGTTGAATTGATATTCAAAGACAATGACCATAATTCATCTACAATAGATCAAATACTTCAAATGTGATCTTATCCAAAATCATTCAAAAGCACACACACATTCATAATACATTATACACAACAAACCACATAAATAACCCAATTATTTGCTTTATATCAAGAAAAACCAACTTCATCATTAATCGTTCTTGATTTTTATTAATCAATGTCTTATTCTTATTCAATTTATTTCCTTCATCAACCTTTGATTGCTATTCTTTTTCAGTTTTTAAATCTTCTAAAGCATCTGCAACTTCAGTATCTAATCTTCCATTTTCATCTTGTTTTAATTGATCTTCATCTTTTCTCAGTTCATCGTTCTTTTCATCTTTCTTTTCAACTTCTTTTTTAACTTCTTTTTCAATTTCTTCTCTTTTAGCATTATATTCTCTTGCCTTTTTAGCTTGAATTTTTAAAAATGTATTTTGTCCAGTTCCCAAGAAGAAAAATACTAAATTTGAAAACAAAGTCCATAAATTTGGATGTAAATAATTTTGTGAAATTGTTAAAACAATAGGAGTTGTAATCCATGAAGATTTCAAGACATTAAATAATGAATTTTGCATTGATAATTTAACTTGTTTAATACATCTTTTAAATTCATCAATTGTTAATGATTGAATTGAAGGTTTCATATTAATAATTGAAATAAATGCCACAATTAATGAACTTTGAAATGGAACAATAGTTATTAACATTGTTAAAATTTGTAAAATTTTATCACGTTTTGATAAAGGATTTTTAAATAATTTATTTAATAAAATAAACCCATAATGAGAAATTGGTGTATTAACACTAAATGCAAATAAAGCTAATAATGGAATTTTTAATGAAAATGGATGTTTAATTTTTTGATTCAATATTTTAGATACTTTAAAATCTTTTGAAATTGTTGTTGCAATTGTTTCATTTAATATAGCAAGAACACCTGCAGTAATTGATTTTGTTAATAATGGATATTTAGCAAGATATTCAAGATATTTAGCATTAAGTGATGTATTCTTAGATCTAGATGACATATTTGTATTGTAAATTATATTGATTGAAAAAATTTATTCTGAATTATCAGTTGATGGACTATCCACTGAAGATATATTGTTAAGTATATAGATAACGCGACTAATGACTAGCTTGACTATAATAGCATTAATCTGATTATGGATGATGAAAGAAACAATGATTCGATATCTTCTAACCAAATAAATGAAGAATAATCAACAACTGAAGTTAAATGGGTTAAATTTTAATGATTTTGTTGGGTTTATAAAGGTTTCTTGATGACCAGTTTTTCGGTTATATGCTCAACTGATAATGGAGGAGAAAACTAGAAAACTGATAAACTTTTGATTCGCGGGAGATTTATTGGGAACAACTGCTTAGGCAGCCTCGGTTTGTAGTTGGAGAAGGAATGTGGGTTTGAATAGTGGTTGGGATAGTAATATTTGTGCATATAAGTTGGTATGCTAGTAGAAATATACGAGTATAAAGAATCATTTCCCAGTTTTCTACGTTGATTAAATGTTTATATTGAACTAGATATGAATTTAATGGTATCTGATTATGTAACAGAGTAATTGAGATTTAATGATTTCTGTAATAAATGGTACAACATGAACATCAAATAAAATAAAAATAATATAGTCATTTTATACAAACTTTTCGTCATCTTTCTGTCTTCTTAGTTTTTTGATATCTAATGTCGTTGTTGAATAATTGACAATTCAGTGAAAAAAATCGGATACTTTTTGGGAGCATCATTCTCACATCTCGCTATATAAGAAATAATCACTATTAGCATTATTTTACGAAGTATCACTTTAACAGTAACTTTTTGAAATATAGTGCTTTAACTAACTTTACATAATAATTCATTATCTATTGACTGATACTAATCATACATACCCATCCATATTTTAGAAATTCAACATCACAAACAGGCACGAATATTCTAAATATCCCAAATGAAGGTTATTTAAATTTTTGATACTGACATTACATAATCATCACATAATCCGAGCTCATCGACCAGGGTAATTTTCGCGCTTTTAATATTTTTTTTTTAATTTTTTTCTTTCTTTACCTGAAAAAAAAATTTTTTGTTAGGATTTCTATTAGTTACATAGAGTTTTAGTTTTATACTTGTTGGTTTAAAAACTAAAAGATATTTGATAAAAGTTCAACTAATCAAAGTTCATCTTGATATTTTTTCCATTGATTGTTCATAGTTTTCATTACTTGTGGTTTTAAATTTCAATTATTAATTCAAATTTTAACTTTTATACAAGTTTTCATATATCAATCAAATTTAATTTTATAAAATCTTAAAAACAGAAAATTTTAGTTTGAATTATTCAATTTGAATTTCATTTTTTTAAGAATCATTATCAAAAGAAACATAACTATTCAATTTTATTTATTAAATTAGTTTGTTTCAATTTATCAAAAAGATTATAATATTAATTCTTTTTGACACATATCATATCATATATATATCACATTTTAATCAATTATAATGGCTTTTACTCCAGGTGGTAGAGGTGGCCGTGGTGGTCCAAGAGGTGGTTCCCGTGGTGGTTTCGGTGGTGGCCGTGGTGGTGCCAGAGGTGGTTTTGGTGGTGGCCGTGGTGGTGCTAGAGGTGGTTTCGGTGGTGGTCGTGGTGGTGCCAGAGGTGGTGGCCGTGGTGGTCCAAGAGGTGGTGCCAGAGGTGGCCGTGGTGGTGCCAGAGGTGGTGCTAAAGGTGGTGCCAAAGTTGTCATCGAACCACATCGTCATGCCGGTGTCTTCATTGCCAGAGGTAAAGAAGATTTATTAGTTACTAAAAACATTGCTCCAGGTGAATCAGTTTATGGTGAAAAAAGAGTGAGTGTTGAAGAACCAGCTAAAGAAGAAGGTGTTCCACCAACTAAAACTGAATATCGTGTTTGGAATCCTTTCAGATCAAAATTGGCTGCCGGTATTATGGGTGGTTTAGATGAATTATTCATTGCTCCAGGTAAAAAAGTTTTATATTTAGGTGCTGCTTCAGGTACTTCAGTTTCTCATGTTGCTGATTTAGTTGGTCCAGAAGGTTTAGTTTATGCTGTTGAATTCTCTCATAGACCAGGTAGAGAATTAATTGGTATGGCTAAAAAGAGACCAAATGTTATTCCAATTATTGAAGATGCTAGACATCCACAAAAATATAGAATGTTGATTGGTATGGTTGATGCTGTTTTCGCGGATGTTGCTCAACCTGATCAAGCTCGTATTATTGCCTTAAACTCACATTTATTCTTGAAAGATCAAGGTGGTGTTGTTATTTCAATCAAAGCTAACTGTATTGATTCAACTGTTGATGCTGAAACTGTTTTCGCTAGAGAAGTTCAAAAATTACGTGAAGAAAAAATTAAACCATTAGAACAATTGACTTTAGAACCTTATGAACGTGACCATTGTATTGTTATCGGTAGATACATGAGAAGTGGTTTATAAGTAAATTTATAAAAAAAATATACTTTAATATTGGGGGAAATTATCATCATATCTTAAACTTTAGGCTTTAAGATTTCATCATAATTAATTTTATTCTGTCATGTTTTTCTTTGTTCTTTTTTAATATTTTTCTTTTGGAAAGTTGAAATTTATTTCAATTTTCTAAAATAGTACATTAACATCTATATAGTTTGTTGATGTACAATTTTTTACCTTTGTACTATTAGTTATTTGAGAAAAAAAAAGTGATACAAAATACCATCATCACCATATCTTTCAATTATCCATCAAGTTCATCACTGAGAGATTTTAAGGAAATAAAAATCATGTTTTTGCATCTATATAAATTACATATATCTCTTTTTTATATATATATAAATATTTTGTTTGAATTATCGTAAGTTTTTGATTTATGAGAATATTATTCATGGTTATATATATGTCACCGAGGGCTGTCACTATTACGGTTGTTCCGCGATTTTTCTTGCTGATTCAATGTTTTGAAAAGAAACGCTTGCCACAACTTTTTAATTCTTAACACAAACTTCGATCTCAAAATATTTAAAGACAAGTGGTGCTTAAAGTTGGTTAGTGATATTGTTAAAAGGCTGCTGAATAGATATATCTGTTTTTTTAAACCATAAACCATGTCAAATCCGGAGGTGATAGACCTTATAGATAGCGATGGTGATGATACCATTGAAGTTATTTCAGAACATCATAATAATAATAACAGAGATAATTTACCTTTATCCCAACTTCATAGACCTCAACAAAGAAACGTGATACGGCTAGGTAGTACTGGAAATGCTGAAGATGATGATGATGGAGTAGAGATTGTGGAAGAAAGGATCGATTTGCAAGCTAGAAGAAGACAACAAGAAAGAGAAAGAGAAAGACAATCTACAACACCAGGTTATATGATACATGTTCCAGGTGGTCCAATACCCGCGTTCACAAATGAAGGTTCAGCTGAACCTGAAAGAAGGTCATTCCAAAATGCAAGAGGTCCAGAAACAGGATTACATTATAGACGACCAGCGTTCCCAGCTTCAAGTGATGATGCTATAAGAAATAGACAGCGTGAAGAACGTTTAATACATCAAGGAATATTAAGGAACCGAAATCCAATATTTAGAGATCCAAGACACTTGCCAGTACCGCATACACCGCCACTTCGCAATATTAGACAAAGAAATAATACATCACAAAGAGGACCAATACTGCGGAATGGCTCAAGAATAAATTTTCAATGGGGTAATCTTGGAAATTTATTATTTGGAGATGATGATGATGACTTTGATCCAACTTATCGACCTGGAATGATACCTCCACAATTCTTGGGATATCCCGCTGGATTCCAACAGTTTTTGGCAGGTGCTGGTGCTGGTTTTGGTGCTGGAGGTGATAATGGAGGTGTTGATCAACATATAATGAATTTAATTGAACAACGAGAAAATCAAGAAGCTGATAAAAAAAGATCTATTAATGAAAATGAAGCATCAAAATATCAAAGACTTTGTAATGAAAAGATTAAAACTATTAAAACACCATTTTCAAATAAATTAGATCCTGAAGAAGAATATGTTTGTTTATTATGTGGTGTTACATTAGGTGAAGGTATACCCAAAGATTTTAATGGAAATATTGAAAATATCAAATTACCTATATTACAAGAACAAAATGATGTTAATGCGCCATATCAAGCTGTTAATTTAGTAACGGATGCTGATCGTGATTTATCAAAAAGAATATTTATGTCAACTTGTGGTCATACATATTGTGGACGTTGTGTTAAAAATATAAGTACGGTTAAAGAAACATTAAAAGAATTGAAGAGAAATAAAATAATTTGGAAAAGAAATGATCAAAATATCAAAAATCCATTTCTTTATGCTCCAGGTAAATGTTGTGCACCTGATTGTGGTGTTGGACTTTGTGCTAGAAGGAGATTTACTGAAGTTTATATATAGGAACAATTTTGTATTTTGGTTTATGCATTTGTTATCATTTTATTTATTTTGTATACTGGGTGTGGATTTAAAGAGCATTATAATAATAATATATTGATCATTAGATGTCGTCAAATTATATTTACAGAAGTTTGTATAAGCGTAGTACAAATTACTTGGTTTTTACTCTTTTTCGTTTTTGAAAACTTTATATTCTCCTGTATATACATTTATATATCTTCTAATTAACCCTTTGAGTACCCATTACCAATAAACCAGAACTATTGTCATCATCAAATTCATATCCGTTTATATTATTATTCTTGTTATTTACATCAACTGTTGCAGTTGAAGTTTTTGGCGTTATTTGATCTTCTTGATCATTTAATTTAAATTGATTTTGTTTCTTATCATCATCAAGAAATTGAATTTGATAATCCTTCTTAAATTTAAACTCAATATTTGGACCATCATTACTATTATCATTATTATTTGTTTCATCATCTTCTTCATCTCTAATCATTTCCAGACTTGAAACTCTTGAAGTTAAGCTATTAACATCTTCCCAAGAATCATCATCATTCATAGCATTTAATTCATCATCACAATAACAACACTTGTTTAGATAATAATTCAAATCAACTTTTGAAGGTTTACCAACTAAACGATCCTCCAATGTATGTTCAATATTTATATGATTATAAAAAATCACTTTAATTTCATCAAAAAGATAAAATTTCCCCTTGCAATTTATAAAATTCAAATGTATAGTATAAGCATCATTACTTTGTCTAATGAAAACTCTATAACCACTTTTCAATCTTCTAATATTATAATTAACTAATATCACTTTGATAGGGGATTCTTCAGAATTACAAACAACAACTTGAATTTTACCTCTTTCATCAATCTTTATACCTGGGAAACCAGATTTTTTATTACCAACACGATCTTCATCACCAATCTTTATTGAACCAACATATGGAGATTCTGAACCATCTTCCCATGTATAGAAAACAGCATCGAAATCCTTCTTTATAGGTGTTCCCTGGGCACCCGCTGTAATCATGGATCCAAATTGCATTGGTTTTGATGGAGAACCTGAAGTTGTACCTCTCAATAGAGATTCTTGCATTGAACCTAATAATGAATTACAACTTCTACTTGGTTTCCGTATACAATGTGAAAATTTTGTTGATTTGACATCACATCTAAAACATTTCTTGGGTATTTCATGATCAGGCAAGATGTCATCAGTTGTTATATGAGATAATGAGGATTTTCTTCTTGGAGCATAGTCATAAGTTATATTTGTTGATACTGGCATTCTATAATTTATCTCCTTGATCTATATGTATAATGTATAATTCGACTCTGTCTTCTCTGTTATGATACTTCTATAACCAAATGATTGTTGATATTGTTGACAATATTGGAAATGTTCACGTATGTATTTGAAACGAGTAAATAAAATGATCTCTTCGAGTATATGATTGTTTGTTGACACTAAAACTTTGAATCTTTAACAATTAGGATAAGCAGCCTTTAATTTAACGCCTGAATCTGATTTATTTAAATATAATTTTTGAATTGTGATATCACCGTCATTCTTGCAACAATTAGCAACTAGTGCCAATTTCTGCTCTCCAGAAAAAGAAAAACGCACTCAATCCGATTCGAGAAATTTGGCGAATTTTTTAGAATTTTTGGTGTAAAAATGGAAAAAAGTGGTGTGTCTGTGTGCAAAATTGCACTTGAACAGTCTAAAAGTAGTACGAGTACGGATCATTTCGCGAAAAAGTTTTTGGTGAGGATCAATTTTGCAAGAGAAATCAAGAAATTTATCGCAACTTGCAAGTTACCAAAGTTAAAATCACACCAGAATCACCAAGTGCACCAAAATAGCCTCTTTTAAAGTTTTTTTCGTTGCTTTAAAGTTAAAGTTTAGAAGTTGTGGTTAGCAAATGACGTAGTATTTTATAGCATCTCGTGGCGAGCCTGAGCCCCTAGTTTTTATTTTCAAGTCCTCCTCAATTTTATATGGCCTCGTCTACTTAAATTCGCTCTAGTCGCTCTCACAGCGTCTCGCTCTCACAATTTCTCAGACTTTGGGAATCCTGGGTTTTCTGTCTCGAATTGGCCTTTTGGGATCCACATTTGGTGATAAATGATTGATAAGGACTTCAAACTTTTAACCCACAACAAACTATATAATCCAAGTGATCAGTAACACAGTATACATCAATGAAATTACTAGTGAGTTAATTAACAACTACTGCTGGAAGTTACAGACATGGCTAACAAATTACAGGTTACGTTCTTAGCAATTGGGCTTATCATCACGGGTTGCTTAAACTCTGTGTTTACCAAATATCAAGATAATCAAGATGTATCACCAGGTAAAAAATTTGAACAACCTGTGTTACAAACTTTACAAATGTTTATTGGTGAAGCTGCTGCTTTTATTTTTTGGGGTTTAGATATTGTACAACGTAAAAAAAATGGATATCAAGAACTTGAAGATCAACAATTAATAAATAGTAAACCTAATTTACCATTATGGAAATCATATTTATTGGCAATTCCAGCCATTTGTGATATAGTTGGTACAACTTTAATGATGGTGGGTTTAGCCTATGTTCCTGTATCTATTTATCAAATGACAAGAGGTGCTTTAATCTTATTTGTTGCAATTTTTAGTATAATTTTCTTAAAACGTTCAATATCAAGAATTGAATGGTTATCATTATTCACTGTGGTTTTAGGTATAGCTATTGTTGGTATTAGTGGTAATTCAAATTCAGGTTCATCAGCTGAATCATCATCTACTACAGAACCATTATTGAACCCAAGATTATTATTGGGGATTGCAATGATCTTAACAGCTCAAGTCTTTGTTGCAACTCAATTTGTTTTTGAAGAACACATTATTAGTAAATGGTCAATTGAACCTTTAAAAATGGTTGGATTTGAAGGTACTTTTGGTAGTATAATTGTCTTTTTAGTTATGTTTTTTGGTGATATCACTGTGGGTCATGATACAAAAGGTCCATTAGATTTACAAAATGCATTTTATGAATTATTTAGTTCTAAAAAAATCATTTATAGTTCATTTGCAATCATGTTGTCAATATTATTTTTCAATTCAATTGGAATCATGTTGACAAGTAAATTAAGTGCAACAGCAAGAAGTACAATTGATACATGTAGAACATTATTAGTTTGGGTTGTTTCAATTTATCTTGGTTGGGAAAGTTTTGTATTTTTACAATTTATTGGTTTTGTCTTATTAGTTTTGGGTACTTTAGTTTTCAATGGTGCTTTAATAATTGATAATTATTTACCAAGATGGTTTAGTGATGATAAAAATAAACCATTAATTATTGATTCAATTGATGAACAAATTGAAAGAATTTGATATTCATGATTTTAACTCAGTTGTTTCAATTCATTACATATAAAAGTAATTTTGCATCATAATATAATACATTAATATACACAATTCATGATAATATTATTGTAATATAAGTATACTTTATATACTTTATACGTTAGTTGTAAATTCCGACCTCTCTAGTCACGTTTTGCGTCACATGATCACCCTCGTATATACCTCTTTCTCCCGATATCAAAAGCTCCTAAAATTGTAATGTTAACAATCTAATCTTGACACTAACACACAAGTAATTGCCATTGAATTTTTACTCTATCTTAAAGAAATTACATGCTAAGACCTTTGACTTTAGCTTCAAATAATATAAATATGGAACAAGATAGACTTTTCAGATTCCCAGGTTTTAAATTACCAAATTCTACAGCTTTAAGATCAATTGGTGTATATGCTTCAGGTGCATTGGTAAGTATATTATAATTTACAATTATAAGCTCAATTTGAATCATTTTATTAACTAATTATTCAGTATGCTATTGGATTTTGGGCTTTTATTGATGCTGTGATATATAGTAAGACTGTGAATGCTTCAGATGTTCATGTTACATTTGTTGATTGGATTCCAATAATTTGTTCAACTTTAGGGATGTTGATTGTTAATTCAATTGAAAAAAATAAACTATTAAATGATGCACTTGGTGGTTCAAGTTTTGGAGGTTCAAGTTCTGTTGCATGGCAAGCTAAAGTTGTTTTATTCTTGGGATTTTCTTTATTAGCTGGTGGTATTGCAGGTTCAATTGTTGTATTAATTTTAAAGTTCTTAGTTAAAGGTTATAATACTTTCCCAACTGTTGGTATGGGTGTTTCAAATGTTGTTGCAAATGGTTCAATTATGTTGAGTTGTATTGTCTTATGGATTGCTCAAAATATTGAAGATGAATATTCTTATTCTTTAGCTTTATAATGAAATCTTTTTAACGCATTTATAGTCATTTAGTATAATACTAAGCAATTGATCAACGATATGATGGTATATATCAAACAAATCAGTCTTCTGTAGTATTTCACGGATTGAACGGGAAATAATATTTAAGAATAGCACTTTGCTGGCTCTCACTATATATATTGATCGTTAATTCCTGAACAGCTTATACAAAAATTGATCCAGATCTATAAGCGCTAAGCAAAATATAAGTATGGTAACACCTAGCTTTCACAATTAATGGGATCATAATGGCAATACAGTAATCAGCTATAAACAAATATGCAGATTTCTATAGATTGTCTTCTTGACTGCATTATATGTAAAACTAGAGTAAACCCACCATAAAACTCAAAAACGAATGCTAAGAAACAAGAACTAGATGTTCAAAAAGAAACAAACTCAAAAAATTAGTCTATATATTAATAAAAGAATCAAAACAAATCTAAATCCATGAATCTGACATTAAAAAGATTGGATAAATCCACTATCCTATCTAATAAATAACTATATAAATAAACAAAAATTGGTAAAGTAAATAAAAAAAATATCAAAGTTAAATTGATTGTGATTTGTAAGCCTCTTCTATAAATTCTTCGTATATCTCATCATCAGTTATAATAAAAATCTATGAATCAATCATATGGTATAAAGATTAACACATATAAATGTTCATTTTTCTCTCTTCTCTCTTTGGTTCCAGTTATTAGTTGAAAGCTATTTAATTAGCTGCAATAGCTTCTCTCAATTCACCTATAACATCTAATTCAAAACTACTAAAATTGAATAATTTTGGTAATGGAACAGGTGTTGAAGAACCTCTTGGAACAAATTGTGTATCATTTCTCAAATCATCAAAAAATTCATGAGCTAATATTCTTCTTGGACTTGATCTTCTTTCTGGTTCAAATACTAAAACTCTCATTAATAAATCAATACCTTTTGAACCTGCATTACCCAAGATTTTTTGAAATCTTGCAGTTGTTGTACCATTGAAAAGAGGTTTTGAATATAATGGACCATCATATTTTGGATTTGAATTATAAATAAATGATTTATTTGGTGGACCTAATAATTTACAAATTTCTCTTAATTGTAGTATTGGATCATCACCTTGGAAAATAGCTTTACCTAATAACATTTCAGCAAATACACAACCAAGTCCCCATATATCAATTTGAGTTGAATAGTATTGACAACCAACAATTAATTCTGGAGCTCTATAATAACGTGAACAAATGTATGCAACAGAAGGTTGTCTTGGTTCTAATCTTTTTGCTGAACCAAAATCACAAATCTTCAAAATACCTGTACTTGGATCAATCAATATATTTGAAGGTTTAATATCTCTATGACAAATTCCTAATGCATGTAAATACATCATTGCTCTTGCAATTTGATATGTATATAATTTGATATGTTTTAAAGGTAATTCTAATTTATTTGAATAATGCAGACGAATTTCAAATTGTAAAGTTTGTGGTAAGCATTCCATAGCTAAATGTTGATAAATTTTACCATCTTTTGGAGATTTATGAGTAAAGAAATGTTCTAACGTTATAATATTTGGATGATTTGTTAATCTTAAGATTTCTAATTCTCTACTTTTATATTCAGTTTGAGCTGGAACTTTTTTGATGGCATAAGGACCTAACCACACAGTACCGTCTAGTAGTTTTGCTTGAGTAACAGTACCAAAAGCACCTTCTCCAATCTTTTTGTATTCTTTAATGATCATTTGCTTTGTAACATTTGTTGCATTTGATGTGACATCATCAGCCACAAATTCTGTATCAACATACATGGTTCTGGATATACTTGATTATTATTATTAAGTTGATTATTGGATAATTCCCTATGAGTTTTGTATATATATATTAATGATTATGATGATGATGTTTTGTTGTTGTTGTTGATGATAACAATAGGTGCCTAATTCCACACAAAAACTGAACTTTCAATACCTAGCCTAAACGAGCTGAATATATGATAATAAAATAATCAGGATATCAATATCAACAATTAAAACTTCTCAACAGCTGTATACTCTGCCAATTGAATTTAAAATATAGACGTCTAAATTTGGATCAATACTTGACTTCAACGCAGCTTAAACTTGTAAACAAACAACGCTAAACTGATTCTTTTTGATCTTGAAATGTTAAGCTTAAACCTCTAATTCTACCGCCCTATTTGAAATTCCTTAAGGTGCCTTTGTCTATACTTTGAGTGTTGTCTTGTCGTTGTTTTGTTGATGAACTTGACAGCTGTTTATCAACGTACTCGGAAATTTCTACTTTCACTCTGAAACTGTTTTTGCAAATACGCCTTCAAAGTTCCAATTTAAATTTAGTCCTTTTGGCAGAAAAATATATACGCGACTTCTTTGAATTTTAAAATGTGAAATTTCGTGTTTTAAAATTCAAATCTTAGCTTAAGTTCTTAATTGACTGGGTTAAATACCAGGATCAATTATAGGATAATCCAACAATCTTACCAAAATCTCAATTGTTCTAGCCCTTTGACACCTTTCGTTGTAGCAAAGTACAATTTGTTAAACCAGTCGCGGAAACTTCGCGCTTTTTACCCGATTGTGGGAAATTCAAAGATTTGATCGAAATATTCAAGGTAATAATAAAGTATGGTAAGAAATACTGGAGATTGAAATCAGATCAAGTGCATTGTTTTAAGTACTTTTATCATAGAATAAACAATGTTCTCCAGATCCATAGCACCAAGACTACTGAGTCTTGCTACAAAACCGCAATTACCAGCATTAAGAAGTGAGTTTCCTTCCCAAATATATTGAATTAATTGAAAAATCATAAATACTAATTGTTTTCATAATAGCATTCACATCATCAAGTATAACGAAACAAGAAACTAAAATACCTTCATTTGCTGATATAAGTAAAACATTCAGTGAAAATAGCAATAAAAATGAAACTACAGTTAATATTGTTGAACCAAATGCTAAACAACAAAAGGAAAATGTAAGCAAAAAAATTGAAGTTGTACATAGATATGTTTTATATGGTTTATTTTCCAAAAATAATACTCATTTAACTTTAAGTGCTGTAACAGAAGATTTAAATTATTTGAAAAGAAATCCAAATTTAACTTATAATCAACAAGTTTTATATTATGCAAAATTACCACAAAAAGTTAAAATTTCATTAACTGGTGGTAGTGCTGGTTTCCGTAAAAGTGCAAGAGGTGAATATGAAGCAGGTTTCCAAGCTAGTGCTAAAATGTTTAATTTAATGGCTGAAAAGGGTTATTTAGATCATGATTTAGAAATTGTTGTTAAAGAATTTGGTAAAGGTAGAGAAGCATTTTTAGATGCATTAAAGGGTAAAGAAGGTAATAGAATTAGACATAAAGTTGTTAGAGTTCGTGATGCAACTAAATTAAAATTCGGTGGTGTTAGAGCTCCAAGACGTCGTCGTTTGTGATCAGTTTTATATTTCCAATAATTGTTATTTGTCACATATGTATATATATAATGAAAATGAAATGTAAATATTGAAACTTAAAAATCTGTAGTATGTACTTTAATATATTTTTCAAAATTTAGGTCTGATGTAGAAAGTCATGTGATATTGTGACGGGGCTTTTCTCATAAGATATATGGTGTTTGGATGCTTTCTGATTAATTTTGTTGTGTTGCGAATACCAACTCCCAATTTCCAATGTGCACTCTGTCTACACTCTAGGTAGAGTCCTCCCAACGCTTTGCCTAACTCCTACTAGAACTTTTAGGCAGAGAGATTCTTGCCCCAGCTCAACTTTGGTTTACATAATCAGAAAAGTTTTTTTCCAACACTGGAAAATCTTAGTATCGAGACTCTGTGAAAAACAAAAAAAGTTGAAATTTATTACAATCTAGTATACCTTGATTTGGTTGAATAGAAAGACAGTTCAAATTAGTTCAAAATGGCTCCATCAAGTAAGTGATAGATGAAGTAAAGAAATAGAAGTAGACTAGACAAAGATGATATGAAGATTATATGAGTTTAAATGGGATTATTGTTGAAAGATTATGGATTATATTGTTTTCAAATTTAAAAGATTTATATCAAAGAGTATACAAAAGATTATTGAAGGAAAATATCAAAAGAATCATAAAGAGTGATTAATATCAATGTAATGAAGTACATCATGAAGAATAGAAACATTTTGGATCACATCAAAGAGTTACAAGTTGAATATTCGTAAAGTACAAAAATGTGTCGTAAAAATATCAATTATAAAGAAGACCTCAATAAGTAAAATCAACACTCAAGTACATTTTATAATTGAAAGGTATTATATTTATATGAATCAGTATCACCATGAGAGTTATTAAACAAATCCATGTCAAATTTTTATGTCTTCAAATCTAATTATTTTATGTTCTTTCTACTTATTTCCCATACTGTTTTCTTTCTAAAGAATTATATACTAACAAATTTTTCAATAGCTAAAGCTCAATCTGCTAAAAGAATCGTTAACAAAGGTAACAATGCTAAAAAAGTTTTAAAAATCAGAACTGATACTTCATTCCGTTTACCAAAAACTTTAAAATTGGCTAGAAACCCAAAATATGCTAGAAAATCTGTTCCACATTACGAAAGATTAGATTCATACAAAGTTATTGTTGCTCCAATTGCTTCAGAAACTGCTATGAAAAAAGTTGAAGATGGTAACACTTTAGTTTTCCAAGTTGACATCAAAGCTAACAAACATCAAATCAAAAAAGCTGTTAAAGAATTATATGAAGTTGATATCCTTGCCGTAAACACTTTAATCAGACCAAACGGTACTAAAAAAGCTTACGTTAGATTAACTGCTGATTACGATGCCTTAGATATTGCTAACAGAATTGGTTACATTTAAATTAATCGTTGGGTTTAAATAAAGGTCTTTATAATTTTGTATAAAAGTATATGATTAATTTGGAAATTTTTAAATGTAGAATGATTTAATGTCATGGTATATAACTTTTATTGATTGACGTTTGATATATTTTTGATGATCTAAATACACAATTGTATATAGTTTTTAATTGTTCTAGACTGGTGTATATCTTGGACTACGTCAATACCTCCTTAACTTCTGAAAACTAACTCCAATAATAAACTCTAACTATACACCAAAACGTACATTGACATAACTTTTCGCAATTTCACTAGCTCAAGAATCAAAGACTAAACTTAAATAAATTATCCTTAATTATCAAAGCGCCCTATAAAATTCTGCCATTTTTTTAAGTACCAAAGAAACCCTTCAAAGAAAATCAAAAACACCGAAGAAACCGAGACTAGTTTTACTCCTCAATTAAAGATAAGCGCTATTGAAAGGGGTTCGTAAACTAAACATGTGCAAAAAAAACAATCACAGTATACTTCATATATCTATTCTTTAATGAACTTGTTTAAATAATGGTTAAAGTATTGATTCTCTTTTCAATTTGATCAAGTTACCGCATTTGGCTGATCGTTTTGGTGCTTATCTAACAGCGCTATCGCTCGCGCATATAATTTTTTTATCTAGTAATTCCGTGATCAAAACAAAGAATCATGCAGGCATCTTTTTCAAGAAGATGGAAGAACAGCTATACCGCTCCAACTGCAAAAAAAACTTCATGAGGCATCAATGAAAAGCTGGAAAAACTAAAGTAAAACTACAAGACATGGGACAAATATGATGTGATTTAGAAAGAATATGATAGAATATTGATTTAATAATATACATATGATTGAAAACTGAATAGACGAAAATAACTATATAAAACTATTGAAACTAGAACCAAACTATAAACCCCCAAAGACAAACTATATTATATATATAATGTATAGCTGTATAATAATATAATAATATGATACTTATGCTTGATTCTTTATGAAGTTAACACCTTTACTAATGTTGGTTGTTAATTGATCAATAGCTGTACTTAATAATTCCTTTTCATGATCATTAATCTTATTTAAAACATCATATTCAATTGATTCAACACCTCTTGGACCTAATTTAACTGGTAATGAAATGTAATTTATTGATTCGTTATTAATTAATTGTTTAGCTTCTTTAGCACCTTCAATTTCATCACTTAAATAAATAAAACTTGAATCAACAAATGAATGTTTACCATTTATAGATTCAATTAATTCTTCAGCTAATTTGAAACCTGAATAAGCCATTGACAATGTAGCTGAACCAGCACCTTTCTTAGCTTGAACAACTTCATCACCACCGTATTGAACTCTATGAACTAAAGCATCACGTTGTTCATCATCTAATGATTTATAAAATTCTGGTGCTCCTAAACTAAATAAAGGAACAATTGTTTCACCTGAATGACCACCAATAACTGGGACATTTAAGTTAGATGGTTTTATCTTGTTTGATGAATCTAATTGTGAAATGAAAGTATTAGCACGAACTAAATCTAAAGTTGTAACACCAAATAATTTTCTAGCATTGAAAACGCCGTTCTTCTTTAAAACTTCTGCAAAAATTGGAACTGTGGAATTAACAGGATTTGAAATGACTAAAACAAAAGCATTTGGAGCATTTTCAGCAACACCTTGAGCTAAATCTCTAACAATACCAGCATTTATAGCAAATAAATCATCTCTAGTCATACCTGGTTTTCTTGGAACACCAGCTGGGATAATCACTAAATCTGTTCCGTTTAAAGCTTTTGCTAATCCATTATCATCTGGTAAATGACTTGTAACTTTAGCATTTGTATCTATATGAGATAAATCAGCACCAACACCTGGAGCATTTACCACATCAAATAAAGATAATTCATCAACTAAAGGAGATAATTTTAATAATAAAGATAATGGTTGACCAATACCACCTGCAGCACCGCAAACTGTGACCTTCATTGTGTTATAATAATAGTTGTATTTCTTTGTGTAAGTATAAATAAGATATAAATAAGTTTTTTTACTCTACAAAATAAAACAATAAACTAAACAATAAAACAGGAAATGATTATGTTTATATATTAAAAAATTAACCGCTCTAAAAAACCGTAGGAGACATTTTCAAACTTTTGGTCATGAAATCTGTGATCATAGAAATGTCCGTGTGGGCTCTGGCTGACGTAAGTGCTGTGTCATCTGGGGGCAATCATCAGTACAAAAAAATCAAAATTGTAATCACATTTCCTCTTTGCGATTGGTGAATTCTTATAGTTGGGCTGTTAGCTGTTAGATATCGTTTAAGTAGATCATTAGTGCGTATTAACCACTAAGAAGGAGTTTGAGTAGCCTATTCCCATGATCTCCCATGATCATCACTTCAAGGTTTGGACCTGCTCACTTAACACCAGGAAGGTTACTGGCTATATTAGATCTTTACATAGGTTTAAATGAACACATCTTACGTTTGAACTTAGATCCTATTTACCAGTACCTCAAGAGTCTTTTTTCTGATAATCATACTATACTTATAACGCAAGACATTCAAATATTCGGTATATTAGAAGGATTGTCCGATAGACGTCTACCCTCTTCAATCAGTTACTATATGAATTGAGGACATTTACCATCCTGATCGTTTAGTTCCTTATATACTTCATTGCTGTATATCTACTTCCATTCATCAGTGGAGCTTCGAACCGAGTTAATTATATCGTTTCTCTATATACTTAGATTTCGCTCTCCGTATAGCTACGATTATGACACAATCCAAGAGATGAGATATTGACAAGTCCTATATCCCTCGGTATAAACATTGACATATCAACTTCATCAATACGGTCGACGTGATGGATTCTATTCTCCTCTTCATCAAAGTCTTGAAACCCGGGATCTTTATGTTTCCATAGTTCGCCTGTCAAGTGAAACACATAGATCATGTAGATGCTTGAGATTATGCAATCATATCATCAATTTGGGTGTGACATATATGTAAGCAAGCACTATAACCAAAATTTCTAACACCATCCAATCAAAGCTTGAAATTTGAGTTTAAAATCGTTGTAATTGGTAAGATTATATCCAAAGGGTTCAAATCATTAATCATTGTATCTTTGGTATATGTAGGGTGCTCATAGGACGCAGTATCAAGAGCTCTTACAGAATTAGTGATGATCTTACAAAATTGATTTTCAATTTTGAGGTACCCGTACACTTTAAATTTATGATTCAGGATAAATCAACAAAGAGGCTGTAGCCTGTTCGTCTTAAGAAGTTCAAATGCTATTGATTATAGCTGCCAAGACTAAACTTGTATGGCTTGTCATATTACTTATCTGTTTGGTATAAGGTATAAGTATATCAAAACACCACATGGCTCTAGGTGATTCTCCATTAAGATAACGTGGTGTACAATCAATACAATTTAAGCTCAAAGACCCTTTAGTAATCTCACAATTGTCCAAAGCATCAGATCCACGATGTTCGAAGTGTTGAAAAACATGGGTGTTATATTGATTATGTCTTTTGATTATCCTGTCAATCTTACTTCTGGATAAATTTTAAAATTTTGACAGGTTGGGATTTATCCGAAAAACAAACGCTAAGAAAACTTTAACAGCTATTTAATATTTATCCTTCTAGAAAATACATACCTTAACTAGTTGTTAATTACTTCATTATGATTGATTCAATTTGAAAGAGAAAAAATTTGAAGGATCATCCAAAGTTAATTTGAAAGGATGTGAGGTGGTCCTCATGTCCTCGTCATAGGTCGAAACTATGAAGGTGTTATGTGAGAGAACAGCAAATTAAAGATCTCAAGCATCATTGGTCAGAAATTAAGATATCACTTTCAATACAATATATGAATGAATGGGATTACCAAAATTTTCTTGAGCCTTTGATTATATGTCAAACTATTTCAAATTCGATATTAATTATTAGTTCATTTGATGATTTGAAGGTTCAATTTCATTATTGAGTTGAACAACTAGAATATCAACACGTCAATTATCTAACTGAATGCTGTCATACATCAAGCTCGGAATATCATTGGCTTTTTGGTGTTACGTTTATAACAACTTATAGTTGTTTTTCGTGCTGATATTGAAAGTTAAAGAAATGATAATTCTCATAAGAGTACTGCATAATACCTATGGACCGTCTTACAACTTGCAGTAATTCATAAATTACTTATTCAACATTGATACTCAAAAGTTTTCTCCAGTTATCTCTAGTTAAAATTTTTTCATGAATCTATTGATGATTTATTGTTTTTACTTAATTGAAATTGAGTTACAATCTGGCTAAGAATTGTGTTTCAGATGTTTTCCTTTCTCACTTCAGCTTGAAATTGACCTAGCTTGAGCCAAAAGATTCGATATTTGACTCAATTCATATGATCACTAAAAGATAAAAATATCCATTAATTAGTGGACTTTCGACGTAGTACAAATATTCCTCATTTGATAATTATATGCAGTGACATCTCGCGTGACTGTACTTAGAAGTTAGATATCTAACATTGTTAATAATTTAAAATCCCAATAATCGACAGTTTTGTTCTTCTTCTATGTGAAATACTTTGGTTCGTATTTGTATCTTCTGCATTAGAGCTTTTAATATGTACCATTTCATGAACTATCAAGGCGCGTTATAACTTACAACTTACGACAATATGTACGAAGCGCTGTGTGCTCAAAAAGCATTCGTAATATTGGAGTTAAAACCACTCTGTATACCTGTCAATATATTACATAACATGAACAATATTCTCCTCAAATAATATATATGGAGGCTTCAATTACAGTTAAAGAGAAATGCAAGCCGACTATTGTGTTTTATAAGTTAAGCAGCTTTCGACCAACAGTAGTATTATTTAAAACGTAATACATAGAACAGTTGTTACATAAATTAACTACTAAACGGGGATTATTGTATCTTGTGACTGTGATCTGTGATACTGAATCCTGATCCTTTAATGAATGTTCGTGTATATGCCAGTAAAAGTACGAAATTAGATCATGTTGAATCGTTTCCATAATTGTACGTTATTTAAGTATGTAAATAAAATTTCTTCGCCGTTGGGATGATGACATGATGACGCGTAATACAATAATATTTTCAAAAAATAATATGTGTACTAAATTCTAATTAAGGTTGATTCGATATCCAACGTCTTTTAACGTGTGATTGAAGTATAAGTTTATAAATAGATTATTTTGATGGAGAATGGTTAGTCTTATAAGTTGTCCAACTTCATAATGAGATTGTTTTCTTTTGTTTTTGAAGAAGAATGAAGAACCTTTATAAGGTCTTGTCTAACCAACACCCAGACATCGGATACTTTTCTTGTTTAAACTTCAATAAACAATATAAGCTCTTGTTCGACCGTTAACCAAGTGCACATACTATATTATGATTCCATGTATTGTTTGAATACCATTAGCATCGAGGAGGACGAGAACTAGGATTCAGGATGTTAAGGATGACACGCGTATTTGTCAGTTGTGCTTAATATTCCGTGCATAAAATAAGATGGTTAACAGTGAGGATATTTTTTGTGTATCACAAAATTGTGGGCAGTAGGTTTAACTTATAAGTTATTACAGTGCGCTTTTAGTATCTTTAAATAGAAAAAAATAATGTTATAAGTAACCGTGCACTTTAATCACATGTGGAGGTTGTGCTATTTTGATAATGATTGATCTGTCAAACGTGTGCGATGCTATGCCCTCCATCAAACCAACATACAAACAAAGTTAATACGCAATGCACACGATTTTGCAAACACACGATATTATTTGTTTATTCAACTCATAGTCTATGTTTGACCTATTTGCTAACAAGACCAAAGAAGGATCAACATTATCCCATCGCAATACTTTTAGTCAACTATCTATACACACGAGGGCTTCAACTGAAGCCCATGTGTTAACGAGAACGTGAAGAAATCACGTTGATGATCGATCTTTTAAGACCACCATGTGCCTGATTCTTTATCAAACAATCAGGTATCCACAATCTTGATATTACTCTTCTACTGGTTATTCTGTAGATTTAACCGACATTGAATACGCACATGGTTCAATACTCTTTTGACTAAATTACTTACATCTCGGTTTTGGCAATGCTATTGATCCAGAAACAAGAGCAAAGCTTTAAAACAAGCTTATGTTTCAATCCTGATCTAGCACAGATCGATGTTTAAACAACGACTTACTCGATAGAGTATATCTTCACAGTACAGAATTACTATTCTTGTGCATTTTTGTGAACAATTCAGGTTCTATATGTATAGACAATTTCCCTTTCCGGAATAGATTTTGATACATGACACATATTTGACATTTCAGAAAATTCTTTGATATTTTGAATAATATTATGTTTACCTTCAAGGCATATACATATTGATTTCTGAAAACCCCCATATGGGCTAACATGCGGATCTTAATGATTTAATATTCGTCGCATTACGTGCGACTGTTTAAGTTTAATACCCACATGACTAGTTATAGACCTTGTGCTTCTTACTGTCGTACTGTATATCATTTGATATAGTTTGACTTTACCATCTACACGTGGAATTATCCAAAACTTTTCAAGATGAGATCAAATCAATCAAAATTATATAAATACTTACAATTGTCTCTTTCAGAATGAGAATTCTAGCTTGATAATTATAATAATCATAGAGGTTTCAATTCAAATCAATCTATATTAATATACCCCCTTTTTAGATCAATCAATCAATCAACAATGCTTCCAGCCAAATTATTAGCTTTAGCTGCTGCTGTTTTAGCTTCAGAAACTATTCGTTTACAAAATTGGAATTTAAGATATGATTCCAAAAAAGATGGTATTTCAGTTGATAACACTATTAAAGGTTTAACATGGAGTATTCCAAATGATGCTCAAGTTAACTATTATTCAAACTCTGGTGAAGAATCATGGTCAAAAAGAAGAATTGGTATTGCAAATGATGTTATTTTCAACAAAGCTGATATTTTCAATGTTAATGAAGGTTTGAAAAATCAAGTTGATGATTTACAATATCTTTTAACTCAAATCAGTGGAGATGAATGGAAATATGTTGGTAAAGGTAGAGATGATGGTAAGGAAAAAGGTGAATATGAAGCTATTTTCTACAACACAAATAAATTCAAAGTTAATGATTATGATACCATTTGGTTATCAAACTCTCCATTTCAACCATCACAATACCCAGGTGCTGGTTCTTATCGTACTGCAACTGTTGCACATATGGAAAGTACTCAAGGTAATAAATTCACTTTGATCAATACCCATTTAGATGATAAATCAGATGATCAAAGAAAATTAGGTGCTTCAATGTTGAAATACATCGGTGCTTATGAATATGTTAATTCAGATGGTCCAGTTTTCTTAACTGGTGATTTCAACTCAGAATCAGAAGGTGATACCTCAGGTGCTTATAAAATTGCTACAGGTGGTCAAAAGCCAGTTGATGTTGACTCATCATTTTATAATAAATATAAAACTGATATTTCACAATCATTCACTTTTGGTGATTTATTCTCACAAACTGATCCATTACATAGATCAGGTCATTTTGCTACTATGGATTCCTTCAAACCATGGGGTGATAAATCAGCTTTAGGTGGTAGAATTGATTTCCAATTTGCTGGTACTCCAAATAGTAATGCTAAGAATGTTCCAAACAAATTCCATAAAGCTAGATCTCATAGAGTTGCTGAAACTTGGTATGATAATGAATTCCATTTAAGTGATCATAGACCAGTTATTTCTGATATTCAAATTGCTCAATAAATCTGTTGATCAGGTTCAAATTCAAGATTACAAAAATCTAATATTTCACATTCTTTTCTCGTTTAACAGGAAGCTTGATGCTTCAAACATTTTCAACCAAAAAAGATTTTTCAACTGATTCGAAAAAGTCTTCATGATCTTTTATCAAAATTATATTCACCATGCGTCCACATTCATTCAATTCATCAATATACTTTTGTACAAGTACTGCATTCTCAACATAATTCAGATAGCTTTTAATAATAATGGTAATTAACTAACGCTCAATGATATATAGATATTTCTATACCTCAATAAATGCTTCAACTGCATCTTTAAAATTAAATTGATTATAATAAATTACATATGTAAAAGCTCATCGAAATGATCAAAAATTTGTTGAACGATTATGTCAAAATCTTGATCGGCCAAATTTCCATCGGGTCAAGTTTGCTAATTGCCGATACGTTTTAAGTTTTAACTTTTAAGTTTTAGGTTTTCCCTTAAATCCATAATATAGGCTATAGCGCATTTAAGATTTAACGTAGTATTAAACATTTTCAAAGACCAATATATCAAACGCAATCACTCACGATACTATTTATGAAATCCAATTTCAGGCCTGTGATTATAATTTATTGTACAGCCTATATTATATAAGACTAGTTTATTATAAAATATATAAATACTATAAGGTACCCGGTCTATTCCCAGTCGAATAGGCCGCGATTATACCGTTTTAAAAGGTTTTCTTTGCAGATATGTACAGATTTGTCAGAAAAAGAGCTTATTGCGTCGTTTATTTTAAATCTTGACAATTTTTGGTGTTAAGGGAATTAAGATGATGATTAATGCTAACAAGTGATTCCAACAAGTTCCTTGAATTTCCATAACCTTGCATTGATCAATTGAACACATATATAAATTGACGTTAATCCCCCAGTGAAGCAAACAGGGATTATATATCATATAGACGTATTATAAATACTCTTCTCATTCAATTACATATACAATTCAACATACACAATGGTCAAACAAGTTTTAGTTACTGGTGCTTCAGGTTATATTGCACTTCACGTCCTTGATGCTTTATTAGCTAAAGGATACCATGTCATTGGTACTGTCAGATCTCAAGACAAAGCTGATAAAATCACTAAACAATTCAAAGCTGAATATCCAGATGCCAAACTTGATTTTGCTTTAGTTGCTGATATTGGTGTTGAAGGTGCTTTCAATGAAGTTTTACAACAATATCCAGAAATCACTGATGTTTTACATACAGCTTCACCATTTTCTTTTGGTTTAAATCAAGATTTAAAAGAAGCTTACTTAGACCCAGCAACTAAAGGTACTAAAAATGCTTTAGAAGCTATTCAAAAGTTTGGTAAAAACGTTAAACATGTTGTTGTTACCTCATCATTTGCTGCTATTTTAGATGTTACTAAAAAGACTGATCCATCATTTGTTCATACTGAAGAAACCTGGAATCCAATTAAATGGGAACAAGTTAATAATGAAACCCTTGCTTACATTGCTTCAAAGAAATATGCTGAAGAATTAGCTCAAGAATATGTTGCTGAAAATAAACCATCATGGACATTAACAACCGTCAACCCAGGTTATGTCTTTGGTCCACAAAAATTTGATGATGTTTTAGTCAATCCAAATTTAAATACTTCAGCTGAAATTGTTAACAAATTATTGAAAGCTGATCCTTCTGCAACTAATGCCTTCACTGAACCTGTTGGTCCAGGTGTTGATGTTCGTGATGTTGCCAAACTACATGTCGTAGCAATTGAAAATGATGAATTAGCTGGTAAGAGATTAATTGGTTTTGAATCATCATTTAGTGGTCAAACTATCTTGAACAGTATTCATAAACACTTCCCAGAATTAGATGGTAAAGTTGCTAAAGGTCAACCAGAAGGTGCTCAAGAATACGCTGATAAAAACTCTTTCCAAGTTGATAACAGTGCTACTATTAAAAATTCAGGTATTACATTCACTCCATTAGATACTACTTTCAAAGATTCTGTTGCTCAAATCTTAAACTATAAAAAGTCACACCCAAATTAGATTATGATAATATAATGAATTAATGTATAATTAAACTCTTTATTTAAACTTCAATTCATCTGTAGATACTTCTCTTTTATTGAAATTGTTGAAAATTGAGCTCTATAGTATTTTAGCGGTCTTAATCGGTCTGAAATTTAGATAAGGTTACTATCCGCATACATTAAATTCGTTGCAACTTTAATCAAAATTCAGCGAGTTTATTTTACCCTATATCAAAGTTGATTAGTTTGTGAAATATACCCAAACACTTAATTCTCACCGTCAAAGGATTAATTTTGTAAAAATGGTATTTTAATTAGTAAAACAGGGAATAGGACCTGTATCTGAATAATGTGGCCTTTCAATAAGGTTAAGCAAAAGTGTGTGGACACAATAATTCAAGCTGAAAAAACAACAATTAATAGCTCTATAATCCTTCAAAATTATCGTGCTACTGATTCATACAATCAGATATATATTACAATGTCAAAAATAGTCTTGTTAACTGGTGCTTCGGGATTCGTTGCGCTCCATGTTTTAGATGCTCTTTTGAAGAAGAATTATCATGTTATAGGTACAGTCAGATCCAAGGGGAAGGCTGATACCATCACCAAAGAATTCAAGAATGAGTATCCAGAAGCAAATCTTGATTTTGAAATTGTTAGAGATATTGGAGCTCAAAATGCATTTGATGAAGTTTTCCAAAGACATCCAAAAATTACAGATGTTATTCATACCGCTTCACCATTTTCCTATGGATTGAATCAGGATTTAAAAGATGCTTATTTAACACCTGCTCTTGAAGGAACCAAAAACATTTTGGAAGCTACTCAGAAATTTGGTAAAGATGTTAAACATGTTGTTATCACTTCATCTTATGTTTCTGTCTTGCATTATGACAAGCGTGGAGATAGATCTTTTGTTCATACTGAAGAAACATGGAATCCTATAGTTTGGGAAGATGTAAATGATGAGTATACAGCTTATTTTGCTTCAAAGAAATTATCAGAACAATTTGCACATAAGTTTGCTTCTGATAATAAACCAAAATGGTCATTAACAGCGGTTAATCCACCTTTTATATTTGGTCCACAAAAATTTGATTCCGCCTTACAAAACTCATCATTGAATACTTCAGCAGATTTTTTAAATCAATTGCTAAGATCAGATCCTAAGAATACTAATCTTTTTGAAGGTGCCTCGGGTCCTTCTGCTGATGTTCGTGATGTTGCAAGATTGCATGTTTTGGCAATTGAGAATGATGATCTATCTGGTAAAAGATTATTACCATATCCTTTCAACTTCACTTTCCAGTCATTATTGGACATTTTACACAATGAATTTCCTGAATTGAATGGCAAAATAGCTAAAGGTAAACCTGAAGAAACAGAAGAACAATTATCTAGGGAAATTTGGGCTGTTGATACTTCAGAAACCTCTAAGATTACAGGTATTAATGATTGGATTCCTTTGGAGAAAACAGTGAAAGACGCAGCTTCACAGATTTTAAAGTACAGAAAATCTAAACCATCCCAGTAGCCCAATTATAGTGTATATAATGTATAAACTTGATCATTGATACACACTATACCCTATTTGAAAATAATTTGTTCATTTAAAATGTAGTGCTGTTTGTTCTTTGTTCAAAATCCGCGATCATGATATACAACAAAGATAAAAAGAAAGGATGAGTGAGAGTTTGGAAACGTTTTCATACCAACACGACCAAAGCAATAAAAGCCATCCATCAGATACAATTATGACGAATCATTGCAATCGAAATGGGATTTAGAATTCCTTGATATGATCATATAATTGATAGGAAGCTTTGGTTTGGAAATTGGTGTGCCACGGTTCGTGTTTCGTGTCTTTGAGAGACCACGTTTTAAGAATACTAGTTTAAACTTTTGATATGACTTCAAAAAGAGACAAAAAGAGATCTTCAAAGTTTCAAAAGGGTCTTTGGTATCAGAAGATCAGAAGACATCAACAAAATCAGCTCTTGTGAGCTTGTTGTTACAAGGCTTCCCAAGTTCAGAATTAAACTTCACACACATCCTTCAGATTTGACCTCTCTTGTTTGATGAATTTTTGGGAACTCAATTGTGAAATTGGTGAAGCATTTACAAGATTTACGCTACTAAACTTAAAAGCTTGCTTAGACTTTCATGAGCTCCTTTATTTGGCTTTTATATCAACGTGATGGCTTTGTTGTTGATTATGAACATGTTGGAAATACTTTGACATGAAAATATGGGGGCTTCATATTGAATCAAGGGGTACACAGATCTCAAAGTCAGGATAATTGAAACTTGATATGTATTTGATACAACTGACAAGGTTCATTCTGTAATGTTCAATATACCAAAAGTACAACAAGGCTCTTCCAATGACTCAACATTATGATATCAACTCATAAGGATAGAGTCGTATCTTGGTAGGGAATTAAACACATGGAGATCTAATGGTAGATCTTACTGCTGTTTATGGAGCCCATGTGTGTACATAATTGGGTTACAACTGGTGGTATTTATTGAATACTGTGGTCCTTAATTGTTAAATAAAGCGTTGAATTTTACAGGACCCTTGATGAACATTTAAATATCATTTTATCAGATCTAAATGTGGCAAAATCTTTGATCCGACGCACACAAAACCCACAAAGAACAAGATCCACATGGGAAATTACGTGCATACTCCTTACATCGTGCTCAATGAACGAGTTACGACGGTATATCTGAAGATACAAGAAGCTTGGGGAGCATCACACGTGTAATTAAAAGTTTTGATTTGTGTTTTTTGTCTAAAGACTTTGATTCAATCACAAGATTGAAAAATTATAAATTAGATCAGATATCTCTTGTGGAATAAATCAATGGGAAATTATTTCATTAATATCAATAGTACCACAATTGACCCTTTCAAAAATGCTCATGAAATCAGTTCTTCAAGCTTTAGCTTTAGCCGCAGTTGCTTTAGCACAAGATTCATTCCGTTTACAAAGTTGGAACATTCGTTACGACTCTTTACCAGATGGCACATCAGTTGACTCTACACTTGGTTCATTAGATCAATCAATTCCACAAGACGGTGGTCCTTATTATGCTGATTACGAAGAACAACCTTGGTCAAAAAGAAGAATTGGTGTTGTTAATGATGTTATTTTCAATAGAGCGGATATATTCACAGTTAATGAAGCTTTAAAAAGACAAGTCGATGATATTAAAGAGTTATTAAACCAATTGAGTGGTCAAACTTGGGATTATATTGGTGTTGGTAGAGATGATGGTAAGGAAAAGGGTGAATATCAAGCTATTTTTTATAATAAACAAAAAGCTTACAGAAAAAGTGATTATACTATTTGGTTATCAGATACCCCATTTGAACCATCAAAACATAAAGATGCAGGCGCTTATCGCTCTACAACTGTTGCACGTTTTGAAACTGTTTCTGGAACTCCATTCACCATTATCAATACCCATCTTGACCATGTATCTAATGATCAAAGAAAATTGAGTGCTTCATTATTAAGGCAATTAGGTGCACATGAGCATCAACATGGTGATGGTCCAGTATTTTTAGTTGGTGATCTAAACTCACCACCTGAAGGTCAAGATTCTGGTGCTTATAAAATTGCTGTTGGTAGTGAAAACACAGTTTCAATAAATGAAACTTTTGCTCAGAGATTCGATGCTTCAAACGCTAAAAATTTTGTGTTCAGTGATTTACTTGGTGAAACAGATGCAGCCCAAAGATCCGGTCATCATGGAACTTTCAACAAATTTGAACCAATTTCTAGTCCTGATGCTGTTGGTGATAGAATTGATTTCCAATTTGCTGGTACTATCAAAGGTGAAAGTTCTAAGAAATATAAAGTTGAAAGAACTAGAGTTGCAGAGGTTTTTTATGATCTTGGGTATCGTATTAGTGACCATAGACCTATCATTAGTGATATTTCAATTCAAAAATAATCATGAAGCTTAGACTTCAACATGATACTTTTATCTCTATTTCAATTCTTCTATAAGCGTTAGATATATTTGAATTTATATCGAACTTTCGATTCCTTTCTTTAATTGGTATATAATTAACTTTCAATATAGATCTTTAAATATTATAATTCGGCTCACATAACTGTAGTGTTTCATATTTGCAATCAAGTTTATATTCTTGTATATATTTAATTTACATTATTTGATCTCCATATAATAAGATGCTATAATATTTCATTTTGATAAGGGACACATGATAAATAGAATACTTAAAAAGATGTTTAATACATCAAATATTTTATAAAGTAAGCACATTCTTAAAGGTGAATAGTTCTTTTATTGCTAATTTTGCCGATTCTGTGTTTTTTTTATGTAAATTAAAGAAAAAAAAATTAGCTATTTTGAATTTCAAAAATAAAGTGTATCATAATAATTTTATTTTTGGTATAAAATTAAAATTAATTAACATTTGTAAAAATTGAATTGAAAACTCAAATTCAGCTAAATAGAGTAAATTTTCATGATATTTAGGGTTCTAAAATAATAATAATACAATTATTTATATATACTTTCACCAAAAAAATACATATAATACCTAGTCAATATTTTTGAAATAATTATTATATAATCCTTAGCAGCTGATTACATAACGCTGGCTATACCCATTACATAATCCAAATTGTTTATTTTATATTTTTAGTATTACTAATTACCATTGTTTATTTATTGAAATGATTAACATTGTTCATGATTAACATTGTGACTTGATTACATTGATTAAATACACTGCTTTCAATTTACTTGTTATTTGTTATTTGCCACTGAATATAAATAGAATGGTAAACAAATCACCATTTGATCAATGATCATCAGACCCTTTTGCGATTACTCAATAAACAATAGATTCTTACTCAGCGGATTATCATGAGATCATGATGGAATAGTCACTATTTAATCAAACTAAAGATCTCAGGAGTCAGCGGCTAATTATAAATACAACGAATAATCCATGTGTTTTCAAGGGGTTCAATAGATTTCAAAATGTCATTATACCATAGCACAATAATATCAAAATGTATTTGATTTCAATATATTTATTCATTATATCATTATCATATTCAATTGCTTCACCAATATTGAAAAGAGATACTGAAACACCACATGTCAAATTATCAAATGGTCCAATCTCTGGTAAATATTTGGCAGAATATAATCAAGATGCTTATTTAGGTATCCCATATGCTGAACCACCATTAAACAATCTAAGATTTAAACCACCAATCTCCTTACAAAAAACATGGTCTGAAGTTCATCAATTTAATGAATATGGTGATGCTTGTTTCTCTGCAAGTGGTTCTGATTCAAATGGGTTAAAACAATCTGAAAATTGTCTTTCATTAAATATTATTAAACCTCATGGTGATCACAGTAACTTACCAGTTGTTATTTGGATTCATGGTGGTGCTTTTAGTGATGGTTCAAGTTCAACTCCAACTTATAATGGTTCTTTTATTGTTCAAAATTCAGTTGATATGGGGAAACCAATAATTTTTGTATCTATAAATTATAGATTAAATGGGTTTGGTTTTTTAAATTCCAAAGAAATTGTTGATAAAAAATGGACAAATATTGGTCTAAGAGATCAAATTAAAGCTGTTGAATGGATTAATGAAAATATTAAACAATTTGGTGGTAATCCAAATCATTTAATTTTATGGGGTGAATCTGCTGGTGCAAAATCTGTTGGTAGATTATTAAATAATAATAAATTTCTTGGATCTTATATAAAAGGTGCTATAATGGAAAGTGGTGCAAATGTTTTCGTTAATGTTCCAAAAGGTGTAACTTCTACAAATCAAGATAATTTTAATAATTTAGTTAAACATTTCAATTGTGGAAATGGTGATGTCTTGGAATGTTTACAAAAAGTGGATCCAAATGAATTACATGAAGCTTTTAAAACTTCAAATGGTATAATCTCCCAGGGTTTCAACTATCCAAGTATTGATAATGATATTGTTCCAGATTCAGGATATAATTCGGTTCAATCTGGTAAAACAACATGGAATGTTCCATTATTAATTGGTACAAATACAGATGAAGGTAGTATATTTACAGATGTTTCTATTGATAATTTACAAAATTCTAAAAATTACTTGTCAAAAACATTCCCAAATTTAAAAACTGAATCAATTAATAAACTTTTAAGTTTTTATACAGATGATCTTGATAGTTTAATTACACCAATTGATCAAAAACCTTATACAGATAAACCAATAAATTATCCATCAAATGTTAAATCCCAATATAAAACATTAGCAACATTAAATACAGATGTTTTATACGTTATGGCAACAAAATTGACTTCAAAAGCTTATATTAATTTAAAACAATCTGTTTATAAATATAGATTTAATTTACCAAAATTAGATACTCATGGTGAAGATTATTATAAAGGTTCATCTCATGGTATTGAAGTTCCTTATGTTTTCAATAATAAAATTTTATTAAAAAAAAATAATGATGTTAACCCTCAGGTTTATAAAATTTCAAATACTTTAGTTAAATTATGGATTTCTTTTATAAATGATTTAAATCCAAATCCACAAGGTAATGATGTTAAATTTGATATTGATGTACCAAATTGGCCAAACTATAATGATGAGAAACAAATTGTTTTCAATTTAAATGAATTTCATATTGAAGATGATACAAGAAGAAATAATCAATTTAATTTTATTAAAGATCATATTCATGAATTTGATGGATAAATTAATATTAACTATATTTATTTTATAATATAGCAGCTATTAAAATTGCTCAATATTAGCTTTAATTTTAATGATTTTTGAAAATAAAAATTAGGATCTTATATTGAAAATTTTATGAATATATATTTTTATTAAACATGATCATAAATCATAAGTGATCGACCAGAAACCCACGGTGACACAAAAGTAACATGAGCAAAAACCTAAATTTAGGATCTTATGTATGTAATGTATGTACGCAATTTAATTTAAACTTAATTCAAAATTTCATTAACACAAAGACGAATTGACACAAAGATGACTAGATCTTCATAATTTGTCGTTTTCTTATAGCTGATCTGATTACACGATATATATCCAATGCTACTAATTGTAAAATCAACGATCAACATCAACACATCTTCTTTATTTATATAAAGCCATCAATAGGGCCTAAGGTAGTTTGCAATATCTATATTATAAGTGCTTTAACATATAAAATTGTATATTATAGATATACATAATTATCGAGCGTAGTTAATAAATTTTGAACATGATAATATGATAATATTTCATTATATAGTAGTATATATATATTCTGCCCTTACCAACTCTCATAATCAATAACGGAATTCGGAACTATAACGGAAGCTAAGCTTTACCGATCGGTTTCACAGCCAAAAAAAAAAACACACATAAGCTTTAAAGTGATTGAAATTTTTGATACCTTCACTAGATTTTCGAAGCACCTAATTTAATTTAAGGGTTAATTCATAGTGTAATATTTCATACCTTATACCTGTAATTACCTCATTGTTTTTCGAATTTCAATTATAGATGTATAGATGAGCTTTCTGTCTATCTACGTTAAGTCGTTTATGTTAAATGCATTTCGTGCGTTTGAAAATGTTACCTTGAAGATCAATAATTTGCTCGTTTTCTCGAATCTCGATTCTCTAGACAGACCCTCGAGGCTCCAACATAAGATCAGTGTAAATAAATTGGTTAAACAAAGTACGCACAAAGATTGAAGATAAGGGATCACACAGAAATCTTAGACCAATTTGTTTTTCTGCTAATAAAAAACAGTACTACGTTGTCTTTCAGAGTTAGTATTTTTTCAGACTTTAATTCAATGCCCTCAACTTCAAGTCTTCAAGGCTTTTTAAAGCCCATTTTTCTTAATATAAGCAGTTGAGCGCATAGTAGATCTTTAGTGCTTCGTAAAATGAAACCCACATGAAAAGAGAATGATTTTTGGAGCTCTAATTAATCTGAAAGTCTCTCGATAGCTATTAACAACTTACAAGTGGTTGAAAAATACAAAATCATGGATACTTGAAAGTTGACTGATAGATCTTCATTTAAATGACAGTCTCAAAACAATTTGTAAACGTTTTGAAGCATACGTATTAGATTAAGGTTATCAAAAACCGGGATTGATGGGGAAAATATTATTTAAAATGTACTGTTTATGTCTGATAACTTCGTTGTGTTGGGTACTTGAAAGTTGATACTTGATGTATACAGTAATTAAGCTATTCTATCAACTAATTAACTCAACAAAATTATAGATTGATCTTAATTTACGAGAACGAATCTCTTCAATATGAACGACGAATAACAACACCAAGGAGACTATCTAAAGTACATATTTCCTTAAGCGTCACAGAGAATGATCAAGTATGTAAACTAAGAGGTATAAGCATTTTGAGTTTCAAATTTTAGGAAATGAAAAGCTAACTAATTTATTTGATGAAATTATATAATTCATCAGTGATGTTGTCTGAGATTTCGATGGTTCCATGTGATCCATGAATCATGATTTATACTTTTGGTTCATAACTGAGTCCTGTATTCAAGAGATACACTAAAAGCCGCCACTAAACTTGATAGTAGCTGTGGTGAACTTATCTAGTTCAATACTGGTAAATGCTAAACAGTTAAAACTTACGTTACCATTGATTTTACATTGGTCATGAAAACAAGCACCAGCGTAGCGCATTTTTGTTATTAGTTTACATTTGTACATTTGGTCTTTAAAGCAATAACGTGTTTTCTTGGTAGTTATTGCATGATAAGAGGCTTTAAGAGCCTATATATTCATAGATAGTTTCGGCTTTCAACAGATCTTGATTCTTGATGATACCACTTTTCATACTGTACCTCGAGAGACATCAAGCACGGGTTTTATGACCTAATGAACCTCTTTAATAACTCATACACCATAAGTTCATATCTCAACAATAGTGTTCAAATTAATGCTAAAAGGAAGGAAGGTGTTCTTTTAGATCTGAGTCCTGACTTTTGAAATCTTTAATATACTATGTAATATGTATGATGTTCTTCATTCAACAATACTCAAGATTACCGGGGGTTTCAGCTTTGATCATTTATGTATTGATTGTTGATCTTTCAATGTACGATGTATCTTCCATGTACAAAACAGTTGTTGAAACGAATTGTAAAATCGAAATTCAACGATTGTGGGACGTCTACATGAGGTAAAGTAGTAGTTTGAATTATAATAATGATTCACTTGTATAGTAGCATACTTTGGAAATGGTTACTACGTTCCTGAAAGGATTCAGCAAGGTACGCGTTGACATTGCAATGAATTTCAGAAGTGGGATTACTAAGTTTCTAGGCCCAATTTAAATTCAATTCACGAATCACCAGCTAAGAACAAGTTTATGTTCAGGTTCCAAATTTTATTTATAAAGGCGAAAGTTATTTCCATTGCGTCTGTTTTCATGCATAAAACGGTTCAAGCTTTATAATACAGCAGGTAGTAAATTGTAAATGTATGCGTTATTCTTCGTTTTAAAAGTCTCAAAAACTTGAGTAATTGTTCAATGAGAGGACTAAATATGGATTATACCGGGAATTTCATATAGTAAACAATTGAATATAAATAAGGAAGACCTTTGATTACAAGTCATGATTAGTTGAATATAATATGGGGTCTTCAAAAAGATTTACACACGTAGTACGTGAAGCTGTCGATTAATTTAATTATTAATGACGTCGCTTTCTTCGAACTTTTCGGATATATAAATAAAATACAGTGGTACACAGTAGATATTTTTCAAGTCTAACTAATAATTAACGTGTATATTAAAATCACTGAAGAAATATTATATATCAACATGGTACTCACTCCACGTTGTAATTCATTAACTAGTTATAAGTTCAAGAATATCAGTAGTACGTAGTACGTACGTCTTCAGTCCTCAGAACCTGATAATTCCATGGGAATTTTGAGTATTATAATTTATATACAAGCCTTATACAATTGCAATGTCATGAATTTGATATACTTAAAAGCCACTAACTTGTTTTGATCGTAACTCCATAACAGTGGCATTAATTTAGGCCTCACAAATAGTTTAAGGCCGTTTTAGGACTCTTATTGTTGAATCTCGTGGTCGGTGTCCAAGTGAACAGCTACTCATCGTCAATATTTATTCAAGTAAAAAACGCTTTGATTCTAGCGTACTCACTGATGTATATAGATACATTTCACTTGAATTCATGAGGCTTGAATATGATTATTTATCAATCAATAACGAATCGTGATGTTCATGGTAGTTGAATCTAAGGCGATGATGGTAACTGTAATATTATAATTACCTACACTACCCATCTCTCTGATTACAATCACATGTAACTTGTAAGACATCCAGATAAAGTTACGATTAATTCTCCAGAAACTGATGTACTATATATGCCTAGATCTACCTTAATTGTACAATTTTGTGAATGATGATATATCTGATTACACAAATTATCGTTCAAAGTGGACTCGAGTGGAATATCAACTTCCTTAGTAAGTGCTTGCAAATGTATCTATAGCTGGAGCCTGGCAGTTCTAAATGAAAAATCACATCGCGACAACGTATTTAAACGAGTCAAAGTATAGCCTATACTTTAGATCCATCTCATCACTGATCAGTACCTCAAGTAGGCGCCTACATAATTGTTCTGAAGAGTTCTAACTTTAACGCTTTAACGTCCCACACTGCCCGCGTACTAAACTAGCCGTTAAAATTTGTATCAATTAAAGCACTTGAATATAGTAGTTTTTGTATAGCTCAAGTGATATATGTTATATACAGGTACGTTATTCTATATTCTATAAATAAAAATCATGTGCAAATCAATATTTAACTTCATGACTTCATTGGAGCTTAATTTCTTACCATCTAGCTTATAAATCTATCTTGAATTCGAGATTCGAGTCTATAAAATAAAAAGAGACCCGGTTTCACCAGGGACCAAGCTTCTTTAAACAGCGAGATCCAGACTTTGGTAACCATATTTGACCAACCAACAAAACTATAATAAGAAGTTGTATGCTATAAGCTATATGCTATAATTTGCTTGGAGTCAGTAAGTTATTTTGATGGTACATTGTAATCATGAGATGGAAGATCAATAAGATCATTTAGGTGTTGGTAACTTGTTGATATCTTTGAAAAGCGAATTTCGTGCTTCAACAGACATGTTTGAAGCATTAAGGGCGAACCCTGTTTCATCATGAAACATATTTTAAATTTTGAGTATATAAGAGCAAAAGATCAAGTTCATACCTTTCCAAATTTTCAGCCAACCAGATGTTCTTTTGAAGGTAAACATGGGTGAATTTAAGCTAGAGTGACATGATAGGTAAAGATGCCTTATTATTAATAGTATAACTTCCTGACATTCCTTTTGAAAAGGAATGATTCCTTAGAGGTTTCTCATACTTTTAGTTATAACTTATCATGTACCTTATATGTATCGGGGAGTCTCCAGAGACTAGAAAGTTTCCCCTAGCGGGTCTACAGACCGATAGACCCACCAATACAGATCTCATGGACAGGTACATACCTAACAAAGTACATACTACATCGCACATTAACAAACAGACATCCTTTCGAAAGTCAAAGGAAGGAAATTCAATTAGCCCTTAAGAAGCTTTAAGTACCCTTTTTACAAAAATTTATACACTTTCATCAAGTTCACCAATTAACTATTAACTGTCAATTCTACCCAAAAAAAACTTTTGTCAAGTAAAGTCTGTTCCTGTCCAGAATCCATATAAAGTTCAAAGTTCAAACGCATATCCCAGGCAAAAGAAACCAAACAGGAACCTGAACCTGGAAACGCTAAGGTAAGTTGTAACCAAGACTCACATATTCGATCAAATAGTCAAAAGTTCAAAACTTACCAAACAAAAGTTATTTAACATTTTGAACATCCCAGAATTTCAACAACACAATTTTACAACTCAACTCCTACTACAACAACTACACTGGTCAAATAGCTTACATTTTTCAAATAAAACATTTCCATTAACACGCTCCCATTACCATATCGTTTAGCTTGTTCATTTTTCGTGTTCGTGTTTGCTTGTGAAAAAAAAATACCCATCACCGAAAAATCTATTAGACATCATCATCCCCTGGTAGTACTAGCTAGATTTAGACACATCATCCAAAATCTCAAGCAATAATTACTCTAATACCACAAACTTCCCAAAATAACACGTCCACCATACCAGACCCATCATTCCTGTCCAAAATATCAACACCATTATAAATTGTTTCCATAGCCCCTGTGACTGAAAGTGAAGGTTTTCAATCTCGGTACCTGAAAGAAGCTATTTTTAATTCACACAAGGCGTGTATAACAACAGAAGGAAGTACCATTTACACATTAAGAAGAGACTTTAAGATTTCATTATAAGATAAAATAATATTACAAGATGACAAATACTTTACCTTCAGTGAAAAAGAAGATTAAAGGAAGAACATTCCAATGTACTGGATATCCAGATTGTCATATGACTTTCACAAGATCAGAACATTTAGCAAGACATATAAGAAAACATACTGGTGAAAGACCTTTTGAATGTGTTCATTGCGCAAGAAAATTTTCAAGATTGGATAATTTAAGACAACATAAACAAACTGTTCATGCTCATGAACCTGAAGTATTGAATGGTAAAATACGTCCAAATGAAATTAGTGAAAATAATGAACTTCAACATCCTCAAATAAATGAACCTGAACATTATCAAAGTAATAATAATGGAAATGATCTTCATGAAAATAACAAGAATTTTTATCAACATCAATCAGATTCAAATTCATCAACAAATTTACCAGATGCTGCAACTAATTTATTAAGACCTACACAATTCAGATCTAAACATAGACCAAGACCTATTGCATTACCATCAAGAAAAACTATATATAATGATGCTCCTTACACAGTTCCAACTCCAAGATCTGCTACATCAACTTCAAATCATTTATTATTAAGCCCCATTTCTCCTGCAAATTCTATTCATCAATTTAATTCAAATTATCAAAATTCTTCATCTGCATTACCTTCAGTACAATTTTTAACATCAAATGGATCAGGCTCAACTGGTGATAGTTTAATAAGTCCTTATAATTCAAGTTTTAGTTCAAATATTTCGAATGCAAATACACCAACTAATTCATCATTTGATTCATCTGCAAGAACTCCAACAAATCATTCATTTACATTTGGTAAACCTTTACAATCTTCTTATATGACTTCTTATGATCATAATTTACATACACAACCACAATATGCCCAATATTCACAACCAGCACATTTACAACAACAAACCCAACAGCAAACTCAACAATCAAACCAATCATCACAACAACAACAACAGATCTCACAAACACAAACACAATCACAACACAATCCATCTTCTACACATTCTTCAACATCATCAACATCTTCACAACAACAACCACAACGTCGTTCTTGGTTAAATAATGTATTAAATAATGAAACAAATTCATATGCACATCAATCATCAAATTCATCAAGTTCTAATAATAATCAATCAAGTTCAACTCCAATGTATTCATATCAATATCAACCAATTTCAAATCCAAAGATTTCACATGATCGTCAACCTTCAAATGATTTACAACAAAATAATAGAGTACGGATTGAAAATTTATTAAATTCATCATCAAAATCATCACCAAATTCAAATAAACATTCTAATCATCATGAACAAATTCATCATCATGGCGAAAAAGAAAGAGTTAAATTACCTAATGTTAAAAACCTTGGAATAGATATATCCAAGAATTAATGATACACATAATTGTTTTTTTTAACAATCAAACACACATAAACACATATACATATATTATTACATTTTTGTTCCTTCTTAGTTCTAGTTATATCACCCTAGAACCAATTTTCACATTCATACAAGTTTATATTTAATCGTTTTTATTCCATTTTTTTTATTTCAATTGTTTCGTTTATAAACCTTTGTGCTTTTTAATTATCATTTTGTCATGTCCCTTGAAATGTTGTTACATAGATTTTATATTTAATTCCCATTCATAATTTTATAAAATGTTTTATAAAATATAATTTAATTGTAGACGTGTATAACTTATTACCGCATTGGGCAGTCTAGAAATACGGTGATGTCACTTTTCTTTTTCCTGGCTGGTGATGCCGGTTCGCGCACGTTTGCCAGTTGAAATTCAAAATTGTCAGATAACCAACCACATTTAAATCTCAAAAGTTCCCAATCGAAAGGGATAGAAATAACCAAGTATTAAAAAACCAACTACAAACTAATCAGAAAACTCAAGCTATAAACAAACACACACACACAAATAAACTAGATCAACTATTTGCATTAAATCAATCAGCTCATCGACTAATTTAACCTTAATTTGAGAGAGAAAACCATTGCAGATCTCGGATAACACTTAAATTATTCTCGAAAAACACAAGGGGTAGGTTCAATTTTAAGACATCAAAACTAATGAATCGAACTTTTAAAAGTGATTAATGAGAAACTAACATAGACCATATAGAAACTTTCCATTAAACTCACACTCACAAGTATCCAAAGATTCATAATGACCACATTTTATAGTCAAAATAGACCTTTAGGTACCCAAACAACAACAAATCAATCATCGTTACCTGGTCAACAATCATCAATTCAACAACAACAACAAACTCAACAAAACAATTTATATCAACAATCTAATTATGATTTCTCTCCATTAGCTAACCAAGTTTACCCTTATAATGGTTCAAACCCAAGTTCAAACGGTTCAAATGGGTTAGCAAGTGCAGTATCTGTTGGTTCAAATGGTTCAAATGGTAATGGTTACATTTATAACAACTCACCTTTAAATAACAATGCTACTTTAAGTCAACCAAGTTCATCTGCTTATAATAATTTGAACTTATCAATTAGAAGTACTGGACAAGGTGTTTATCCAACACCAAGAGCTTCAAATTCACCAAATTTAAATTTTGCCTCTTTATATTCATCAAGAGCAAGATTTCATGCATCAAAAGGATTCGATTTAGAAGATGATTTAGAATTTTGTCCAGAGATTCATGAACATCATGCTGTTCAACATCATAGATTTAATCCTTATACTTCACATACTTTTAGTCCAAAAAATTCCCCTTCAACTATTGCAGTTGATACAACATCACCAATTACGAGAAAAGATTATACAACAACTAATGAAAGCCCAAAGAATATCACACCAAGAGCTAAAAAAGTTTTAGAAATTGTTAACCCTGCAACTGGATTAAGAGTTTCTTCACCAGCTCCTTATAAATGAACGTTTTATGACCCCCATATACACTTATTATTATTTTTTAGAATTTGACAACAGGTCTTGTTTTGTTCTTTACATTTTTTAATTAAATTTTTACATACTCATTTTTTTATATATATTTATCGTTTAATCTCTCTCAGATTTATTTTTAATGAAATTTTATTACTCATATCATATTATACTTAATGAACAAACTCATACATCTATATTTTAGATCAATCATCATTATGACATGCACTTTTATATTTTGTTTTCATTTTTAGATCATGTTTTATTGTTATGTCATATATTGTTTATAAAGACCGTTGTCATAAGATACCAATTTAAATGCTTTTTCAGTTATTCTATATATTGTTTTATATGCTTATATTATACATAATCATGATTTTCTCTTAACAATTGTAATACTGATATAAAATTTGGCTATACTGATTACAAACCACTTACATAATCACAGGGTAACTATTTTACGAAGCGCGCACGCAGACCCGCGAATTTCTATACATTGCAAAAAGTGCATCACAGCTTTTTAATGACAGTTGAAATAAAATATTAAGGTACTGCAAACCATTAATAACCAATTCAAATTTGTATTATATTATCAATCAGGATGGATTTGAGAAACTTGTTAGGGCCTTCAGATTCAGGTGCTCAACCGGTAAAAGAAGAGAAAAAGGAACCACAACAGACCCCCAACAATAACAACAATGACCGTCCAGAATTAAAACATAGATATTCATCAATTAGCAGTTTAGTAAACAATGACGATGATGGTCAAAATTTATCATCTCCTTCATCAAGCATAATACATCCAATGAATTCACCGGTGCTACCTTCCAAACTACCGCCACAAGGTTCCAATCCAGTTACACCTGGTAGTAAACCAATTGATTTGATCAAAGCGCGTAGTAGTATTACAAGTTTAACAAATGAAAAAGATGTTGATGTTGATGGTAAAGAAACTCCAAGTATTGCTAGAAGATTGTCATATGAAGTATCAACAAGTGAATCAAGCTCTCCTGCTTTGCCTAAGAAAACTATTCCTAGACAACCTTCATTACAAGATGTGATGAATACTGATAAGCCAATTGAATTTGAAGAACCTCAATATAAAGAACCTGAAGAAGAAAAACAACAAAATATTCAATCCAATTCTCAAAACTCTCAAAAATTGGAAAGTTCACCAAAAGTTTTATCTCCAAAATCTGCTAAAAAGGAAAAACCATCTTCACCAAAACGTTCACCTTCAAGATCACCAACAACTAAGAGAAAACAAACTGCATCTAAACCTCAATCACCAAGAAACAGTGGGAACATTCAAAACAATAATCATCACCATCATCCTGCAACAATTGATGATGAATTATCAAAATTGAAATCAATTGAAAAACAAAAACCTAAAGTGAAAGGTAAACCAAGACGTTATGAACAACCTCCGATTTGGGCAAGAAAATGGAAACATTTAGCTGAAGAACAACCAGGTGATTATACTGAAGGTAATGGTCAATCCAGTAGAAATACTTTCAATAAAGCCGTTTCTATAACTGGTGTTAAACCATATAATGATATAACAAGAAGAATAACAAATTGGATTTATGCACAAATACATTCAACTCCAAAAGAATTACGTCAATATTTAGAATTAGAAACTAAATTTGGTAGAATTTGGGATAAAACTACAGATAGAAGAGTTCAATTACCTGTAACAACAGAATCTATATTAGATGATGGATTTGCATTACAATGTACATTTAAAACAGGTGTTGATAAAGATCATTTTGAAAGATTAAAGAAATTTTTAATCAATTTAACAAAACTTCATAAAGATAATTTTAAAACGGTTAAATTTGATCAAATAGATAGACAATATAGGGAAGCTCAAAGAAATCAAATGCCAAAATTTTATAGATTAACAACTGATAAAAGTACTCAAAGAATTGTTCAAAATATTGAAAAAAGAAAATTAGCAAGTTTATTTATTCATAATCCTGATCAAATATTTGATTTTAGATTAACAATGAGTATTGAATTACCAAGTAATGAAAATCCTGCAAGATTTCAAGATGTTACACCAGAATCTGAAAGATCTAAAAGAAGAACTTCAATTTTCCATGATTTAACTGCATCAAGATTTGATATTACAGATGTTCAACAAAGATTAAAAGGTAGAAATCAACAAGAACAAGAATCTTTAGAATTAGAAATTGAAATTGATATCAAAAAATTAGTTTCATCTTATGAAAAATTAGAAACTGATAGCTTTACATTTGAAGATATGTCTGAAACGTTTATGGATAATGCTAGAATTTTAAATAGAGAATTGTTAAAACCTGGGAAATGAATCCAAATGCTTCAAAAATCTGATGAATTTGTTTTTTATCCCTTTGAATAAAGGGTTGTATCTAATATATATATATAGAAGAATAATGATGACAATGTGAAATTAAAATATGCAAACAATTGAACTGTAGCTGTCTCTATATATGTATATGTATAATCATATCAGGTGGTTCATTTATAATCTTTATAAATCCCTAAAATATATGCTAATCTTGTAACAACTAAATCGATAGCCATATTTATACTATCTCTTGCTAAATCAACTTTTGAACCATCAACTTCATGCCATGAAATTGGAACTTCTTTAATTGGAATTTGTTTTCTTATAGCTAAGATTAAAATTTCAACATCAAATATCCAACCTTCAGTATGCATATATGGGAAAATTTTTAAAATTGCTGATCTATTAAATAATTTAAATCCACATTGTGTATCTTTAATATCTCTTATTCCAAAAATGAAAACTAATGTATGTAAACTATACATTAAGAAATTTCTTATAAAAGATCTCTTAACGACAGCATCTGAATCAACCATATGAGCTCTTGATCCAATTGCAAGGGCTGGTGAATCACCTGCTGATTGTATACTTTTAATTAATTGTTCAACATCACTAAATTTAGAAGCACCATCTGCATCTGCAAAGATGGCATATTTACCACGAACATGTTGTATACCATGTGTAACAGCACCACCTTTCCCCCTATTCTTGACTAATTTTACAATTCTTAATTGACCTTTTTGTAATTTAAAATAATTTAAACCTAAATCTAATGCATATTCAGCAGTACCATCTTTTGAACCATCATCAACAATTATAATTTCAAATTTATCATCATATGTCTTGTATAAATGAGAAATTGCATCTTCTAACATGATTTTCAATCTCTTAGTTTCATTATAACATGGAATAACAACACTTAACTCTATATCATCTTTAATTTCTAAATCACCACGAATTGGTAAATCATACTTTACTATATCTTCACCCTTAGAATCTATTGTTATATATTGTAATTCTGATACATGTGGAGCTCGAGGCTTATGTGAAAATATTATAATTGTAGAATAAATCTATCGATTCTAGTTAGTATCAAAGAAACCTCTTTAAAATATTCCATTCCAAAGCTTTGAAAAAGCGTGTAATGAAGAAACAAAACATTCAATCTTCAACTTACAATTATCACCAATGTCACTATCGCAGCAACAGCATAGTATCCCAAAGTAGTCACTTCAACCATCTCTCCAAGCGCTCCAAATATTTCCTTTCAAAACTCTTTTATCAACAAAATCTAATTGAATATAAGTTTATAATATTAGAAAAACTTGAAATCTGTTAATTTTGAAATGTCAACATCAACGACGGTTTTTTTCGCAATTTTGCAAAACACGAGTTTTAACTTTTTTTTGGCGTAGTACCGCTAATCTTTTATGCCAAAAATTTCCGAAATTTCCTAAAATAGATTGCAAAGAATAAACAATAAAACGTCAAAATCAAAAACACTACAAGATATCAAGTTTTATAAATATATTAGTACAATTAAGAAATGAATCTATATATGTATAGTGTATGCAAATGCTATGATTAAAAAATGTGAACAAAAAAACCTAAAAATGTTGAAAAAAACAGAAGAAAAATTAACCAAAAATTTAACTAAATTGTACCTATGATGTAAAACCAATATAGTAAAGAAAATCATTATATAAATCATTAAAACCTAAAGAACCTAATCATTTTGAAACTTGTTCTTCATTATCCATTGAACTTAATTTTGTATGTTCACTTAACCAATCAGATGTATGATCAACAGTTTCTGGAGAAGAAGTATTAACATCTTGAGTATTTAAATTAAAAGGTGATGAGGGCATCATTGAGACTTTTAAATTTGATTCTTTTTGATCTATAGAATTTGAATCTTTATGATTTAACCCATTATTTGATTCATTAACTTGTGGTAATGGTTGAGAAGGTGGTGTATCATCTTCACAAGGTAATGTATTACAAGTTGCTAAATCTCTTGGAGTATTGTCAAAATCTTTTGGTGTTATTGATGAATCTTGTTGATCTTGATCTTTTGGAGTTGGTTCGAAAAATTCATTAAGCCATTCATTATTTGGAGTTGTGGAATTTATATTATTCATATTTGGTGGTACACCACTAAATGATTTAATTAACATTTTTTCAAATGAATTTTGTCTTGATAATTTTTGAATTGAAATTGGTGGTATATTTTCTTTATCTTCTGTATTTAAAATTTGTGGAGTTCTTTTTTGTTGTGGTAATGGATCTATATCTGTCATTGGACCAAAATTAAAATCTAAATCACTACTAACCATATCTTGAAATTCTTCAACTGGATCTGATGAAGTTTGTTCATGTTTCATTGAATGTAATTTAGGTCCATTATCCAATTGTTGTTGTTGTTGTTGAGGATTATTTGAACTATTATTCAAATCTTTTGAATCTTTTTTAGTATATTTTGCAGAAGATGGTTTTAATTCATTATTATTATTTGAATTATTATAATAATTCTTTGGTCTTTGAGATCCTTTATCTAATAGATAAATATAACAAGTATTACAATACATTCCTCTTTTAGATTCTTCTTCAGTATCAAAATATCTCCAAACTGGAGCTGAAACAGTTTGACAATTGAAACATTCTGGAATATTTTTTGGAATTTCTTTAAAAGTTGATAAAGTTGGAGCAGCAGGTGAAGATTTGATTGAATTTGATTGAGTTTGATTTTTAGATTGAGTTTTTGTTGTATTAGATTTTGTTTGCTTTTTAGATCTTGATTTTTTTGTAGTTGAAGAATTTGATTTTGATTCTTTCGAATTAAATTTTTTATTATCAGAACTTATAAAATTTGGAGCAAATCTATTTGATGGTGCAACTGTTATTGGTTTGGTAACATTTCCATCTAATCCATCAACTTGGAAAGAATAATTAGTTCTATGTTGTTTAATTTCATCAGCTTGCCTTATTTGACCTGCAATTGTTGAAGCTGGAAAGACTTTAGCTGAAGGAGGGAAATAACCCATTGATGCTAAATGTGAAGAGTGAAGTTGATTTAAAGGTTGATTAAAAGCTGGTAATGATTGAGTTCTTGAAGCTTTAACAGCTGAATTTGTTGATGAAGATGAGGCCATTTGTTTAGATTTTTTAGTTGATGAATGATCATAAATTTGTGGTTTCTGTTGAGGAATTTGGAAAGTTGATAATTCTGGATAAACTGGTGAAGTTGAACTATTGACATTATTTGGACTTTGATTATAAATTTCATCATTTTTTCTTTTAGATCCTATACTTTGTTGTTGAGGAATTTGACCTTGTGATTGTCGTTGTTGTTGAGATGGTTGTAGTTGTTGCTGTTGTTGAGATTGTTGTTGTTGCTGTTGCTGTTGTTGAGGTTGATTATTATTATTATTTGATCTTTTTGAAACAACTCTTGCTAATCTTAATTTGATTTCTAAAGTTTCAGAACTGTTTTTACTTAATAGAGCAGCAAAATTTGAACAAACTCTACCAGGAATCAAAGTTTCATCATCATCAAAGTCCATTGTATCTTGTTGTTGACCTAATAAAATTTTATGAAATAAACCATAACCAACAAAAGGTTCATCTTCTTCAGTTATATCTTTAACATAAACAGAATAATCTATAGAATCATCAACAAATAATTCAGGACTTGATTTTTGAATTGGTTGTAGCACCTCTTTCAATGAAACAACACCAAGAGTCATTAAATTTCTTTGACCAGGAATTGGCATAGTTAAAGTTTTAACATTTAATATATTACTTGATCTTGCTAAAAATGTATTATCTTCTAAAGTGTAAAGAATTTTCAACTTCATTCTTCTAAACTGACCTTGATTTTGATCTTCATGATGTTCAAATGGCATTTCAGGTAATGAAGGCATATGACAAGCGCGCATGTTGATGTTGTTGTTGTATAATGATTATTGTATTAAGATGTTCTGAAACAATATTATAATTGAAAGCCTAGTTTGATTGAAATGTTTGCCACTGAATTGGGAGTATAAATAAACACCGTGACTTTTGTGAATTAGATTAATGAAAAGATTGACTGAATAGAGCGCGTGAAGTATGGGAAACTATTGCTTATATGAAATAGTGTTTATATGATCTTGTCTGTTGAATGTTCCCCTTCAGCTCAGGTCTAATATGCTCTATGGTGATTATTATGTTGTATGAGATGATATGTGAATGAAGTATCTGAACAGAATTTGATGAAGTTTATGAAAGAAAGATAAAAGTCAAAACTAAAAGTTCAAAGTTCATGTCAAAATTCAGATTTCATTATAAACAACCAGAAACAAAATTGGTGACGGAGTGCGCGTACCGTGGCTCTTTTCTTAAAATTGAATTTTAGCGCGTCTCGCGATTTTGTGGATTTCGCGATTTTATTTTGTAGCGCGTTTCTTGTTCATTTTGGTGATTTTGGTGATTTTGAATTTTGTAGGGTTTTTGATGATTTGAATATTTGATGAAGAGTGAGATTTGTGATTGTAAGATGGCTTTGTGGAACAGTATACAACCTGGTTTTATATTGTTACATCGTTATAATAGTGTATCATAATCAATCTACTGATTCCTATACAAAGTTCAAACTATAGATCTGAAACGTCTTTTAGTACATGTCTTACTCTCATTAAGATTAAATTTAATTGTCTAACGTCGAACATTGGCAATAGAAGATGGTGTTCGTATGACCACTGTTATAATTTATGAAGATGATGTACTCTATACTAGTATATACTCCAAATACTTTTTATATGCCACAATAAATAAGTTTAGTAACTAGTTCAAAACTTTTAATACCACGGAAGTCATGGCTCAATCGAGTAATCATCAACCGTTTTCTGGAGCTTTTTTTCCCATGCTTTGTTTTTCCGTTCCAGCCAGAATGGTTACCTGCAAGAGTACAACTTACAGGGTCCTAGATTCCAAAGACATCCATCAAGACATCCTAAAGAGTTAAAATGCCCATAAACTCAGTCACAAACTTGACTCGATTGTATCTCCCGTTGGACGCCCAGACCTGTATCTTCTCGTATAAAACTATGCCAATTAGAACCTTTTAGCTTAAGCTTAATTATGAAAGAGTTTGAATTTGCAAATTGCGTCTATTTCGGGCTTTGCAGATGAAGCTGATGGAAAAGATAAAAATTTTTCTGTTGATCGCTTAAAAGACATACATGTGAATTTAACTGGTTCAAATTTCAGACAATTTATAAACTTGGATCGTTTAGTTAACAGCTTGTAAATCATTTGAAATACCACAGGAAATTAAATCAAATGTATGTCAAAAATTGTATGGTATACAATGATCAGAGGTTGAGAATCGAGATTCGTTTAGACATCATGATTAAAAATGTTACCAACATTGAGTAGACCTAGATAACGAACGAGGATCAAGAATCAAGTCAACTTCAACTATCTATACAGTTTCAACTCTCGAGAGTCGATGCCACAAATCTATGGAAATTAAGACTTAAACCCATGCCGTACTTACAAATCTGTATGATTTGTACGTCTTATTTCAAAGCTATAAGCATCGAAGGGCATTAATTTGTGACAAATAACATGCACTATAACCTCTAGATATATGCCGAAATATGATCTAGATTATATGAGCTACGTAACTATAACGTAACTACTAACTTGTTGTAACTTGTATCTTGGAGTTAATGCTCATTTCAAGTGGATATGTACCAGCTATATCTATACAATTCTTTGAAAACGATTCAAATTATATGTAATATTGATTTGCAATATATAGGCTATAGAACTGTTAAGTTAGACCAACATCACAACATCACCGTTGGCCTCGAAAACTAATTACCACTTCGCTACAATTCTTGACAATGGATATTCATGGATCATTAAACCAAACGAGTGCTATATATTATAATAGCTTATACGTACTTTCTTATAAGCCCGTCCCAACACATCAAGATTCAAGACTCAACAAATGACACAATAATATTAGACTAAGTTAATGATCAACTCGATTCTTTTTTTCTTTTAGCTGTTTTCTTCGTTTCTTTGTTGAAATTTTCCAAATTGTGACTCGTTAAACTTAATTGCCAATTTATGTCCAATGTCCCCAAAGTTGATTGGATTTTGTTGTTGGAGGAATTGACGAATTGAAGGCATTTGCGGTGCTTTTGTCCGCATTGTCCGGGAAAAGTTTTTGAAAAATTTTTATCTGATGCGATCTAATCGATTCCATCAATCGAGAAAATTTGGTGGGATTTAGAGGTTTGGAGGGGGTTAACTATTTACACAAAGATGGTATAAGCAAGGCAATTACTAGAATAAAATCAGTAACACTAGGGCTATATATCCATACCAATTTCCCCTAACAAAACCGCACTCCCACACACAATACCACCAGTATAACCTCCAGAGTAAATGTCCCGCGCCCTCCATTGTAATTGGCTGCTGATGGAATAGATAATTTTATAACCCAAGCGATCACGGCCAATTTCCCAAAAATTCTTTGAAAAAACTTCTTTTCGTCCCGGTTCCCAAGGTTGTCGATATAAATAAATTATCAATTCCATCAGTTTTTTATCTTTTCAATCTTTCCACAATGATTTTTCAAATTTAATCTCCAAAGAAACCATCAAAAAAGTGTACAATAAGTTTGGAATTCCACTATACATTAAGTACAGATTATAGATCCATACAATACTCAATTGAAGGGAAAATATTACCTAGATCCTCAAAGCTTGATAGTTCTCTATATTATTATACCTCCTATTCCGGGACCCTTCTTATATACATACATATATCAAAATGAGTTACAACAGTGATAAAATTACAACAAATGAAGAAATCTTGGAAGCTTTAAATCCAGTACCAAATTTCAAAAATAGAGATGATATTAAACCTTGGATTCATGAAAATTTAGATTCAAGAGGTATAAATTTAGTCATTGAAAGATCTGATGCTTCAAAAGTTGTTTTCAAATGTAAAAATCTTTATAGAAAATCTTCAACTCCAAGATCAACAACAACAAAAATCATTAATGGGAAACAAGTTGTTAAAAGAGTTAGAAGATCAATACCTGAAGATTCTTGTCCTTTTAGATTAAGAGTTAGTTATTCTGTTAAATATAAAAATTGGTCTGTCAATATTATTAAACATGAACATAATTTATCACTTTGTTCAAATTTTGGTCAAGGTCAACCTTCTCCAATAGATCATGCTGCTGTTAATAATGCAAGACAATATGGGAATCAATCTGTTAGACCAATGTTATCAAATAACTCATCATATTATTCAACTTCAGGTTCCATTCATACTGGTGGTTCTTCATCAAATGCACCAAGTCCATTATCTTCAAGTTATACTGCATCTCCAGCTTTTACAACTACTCCATATTCAAATTCTGGTACACCAATAACTTCAACTTCTCATGATTTATTAGCTGATTATGAAATTCCAACTACATTTAGAAGATCTCAATTATATAATGAAATTGATCCATTAGATCAAATTTCAAATTCTAATACTGGAACATCTTCATCAACAAATCATGATTTAAGTTCTTTACATGATGAATTAAATTTTGTTTATTCAAATAATCATAGTGACAATGAAGCATTTGCCAAAAATTTAGATGAATTTCAAGATTTATTAAATGACCAAACTCCTAAACAACAACAACAACATGAACCAAGAATTGGAGGTTCATCATCTCATCAATTATCTCAACAACAATTACCATCCCCATCACCACCTACAACAGATCATATAACTTCACAATTCCAATTATTTGATGATTCACCATTTAATAAATTTTATGAACATCCATCTCATCAACCTATTCAACCTAAACCTCAAACTCATCAACAAGTATCAAATACATCATCTCCATCACAAAACTCACCATTTTCACCATCACAACAAAATAATAATTCGTTAAATATTAAACAAGAAGATGCTCAAGAAAATGATCCATTAATGTATTTATTAAGTTCAACAAATCAATCTTATACTTTTGAAGAATTAGAATCTTTGGATAAAGCTATGGGTATTGATGCTAATGATAAGATCTTGATGTCTATGTTTCAAGGTATCTAAGTGATCCCTTTTTATGAGTTTATGAATTTGATGAATTTGATGATGATGATGTGGGTATGGTTCATGTCAGTATAGAATGATTTTATTTGATCAATGGTTTATGAGGGTTTCTTTTCCTGTTTTTTTTATTAATGATTGCTTATATGATCTATTTCAAAATATATCTTATTAATGTTTGTGTTATATATGATAGCTGTTTATATGTTTTAATGTCAAATCTTGTTTAATGTTTTCTTGAAGAAATACAAGATAAAAAAAGTTTTTAATGTACATGATGTTTATACCAAATAATCTGAGTTTTGTAGTTTGAGATCTTACACATATTTAAACATAACTTTCATTTTATAAAACAAATTTTAATTTAAACAACATACTATATAATTTCTGAATTTGTATAAAAAAAAACCAAAGAAAGTGTCAATCAATCAAAACTCTATATAAATTATGGTAGAAATCTAAGCAATACCATTCAATACAGTTTCAGCTAATTCTTCATCATCAGCTTTAACGATAGCTTTTAAAGTAACACCAGTTTTAGCACTTTTAACAAATTTAATAAAAGCACCAATTCTATCACCATTAATAGTTTTACCAAATAATTTTAATGAATGTGAACTTTCATTAATAACTTGACCACCTTCAATTGCACCTAATGATAATACTTCAATTAATGAATCAATAGTTTCTTGAATTGAATTACTTGATAATTGGAAAGTACCTATACTTTCATTAATTAATTCATCAAATGCTAAATCAAAATTACCAACATATGATGGTAAAATAAAATCTCCTGGTGTTAATGATAAATCTTCAATTTGATATTCATCTTCAAATCCAGCATCATCAAATGGTTCAAAAGTATTTGGATCACATTCTTTTGATGTAAATGATAAAGTATTTGTAAAATCAGTGGTGATTAATTTTGTTGATTCAGGTCTTGTAAATGAAACATAAACTGTACCTTTACCATGTGGTGGTAATTTATCAATTGATAAAATGAATTCTTCAACTAATTCCTCGGATTCAGGTTGTGAAACAACTGAAACCATTTCTAATAATGAATCTTCTAATGTATTTTCAATATTATATTGTAAAACTATATGTTCTTCAAAAATATGTTTAACAACTTCAACAATAAATTCAGTTTCTTTTTCAGTTAATGGTAAAATTGATGATGAATGTAAAACTGAACCATAATTTTGGAATTCTTCAATATTGTTTAATTCTTGAATATAATGTTGTTTAGATAATTCTGCATTTTGATCATCTTCAAGATGTGTTTGATTAATTTTATCATCAACATCTGCTTTAATTGCATTTCTTGATTTTGATTCTTCTTCAACTTTATTAGTTTTATTTTTCAATTGTATAATTTTCAATTCATCTTCAGAAATTTTTGGAATTGATGTAATATCAAATGGTGTAACAAAATTTGATTGATCTCCACTAATATAAGTTTGTAATTTACTTTCTAATATTGATAAATCATAAGTATATGATGGTTTAGTTAATTCCACAATTGATTGTGATTTAGTTTCTTCATAATTTTCCAAGAATTTTAATGAAATAATAGCACGATCTCTAACTTCATCATCAACATCATTAACAATTCTTTGTAATAAAATTTTAATTGATTTATTAATTGTAGAATCAATTAATGCAAATTTTGATAATGAAATAACTGCAGCTGATCTAATAATTGAATTTTCTAAAACAACTCTATTATAAATATGTCTAATATATAAAGTTGGATTTGAAGTTTTTGGACCTTCATTACCTAATAAGTTTAATATTCTAACACTTAATTCAGTAAATTCACAATCTTCAATAAATTCACATAAATTTTCTAATGCTAAATCTCTAGATTCTGGAACAAAATAAATTAAATCAAATAATGCTTCAACAATGGAATTTTTAAATTCAAATCCACCATCATCTTTTAAGATATCAACAAGGAATAATAACATTGATTTATAATTTTGTGGGAATTTTAATGATAGAGTTTTAATTGCATCAATAATAATGATTTTAAATTCATCAGAAATATCATTAATAAATTTAGAAATTGTACTAATTAATCTTTCAATGTTATCAGAAGTACCAGTCTTCAATAAAGTTGTAATAGCATAAGTTGCAATTGATCTATTTGGATCATTAATTAAAGATTCCAATTCATTATTAACAGCAACAATTCTTTCAGGATTTTTCAAAGATAATCTATTCAAAATTCTAACAGCAGCAAATCTTGAAACAACTTTTGGAGCAGTTAATAAGAATTGTAATCTTAAAACAGCACTTGCAAATTGTTCATTTGTAACAGGTAATGAGACAACAACTTTAATAGCTTCTAAATTAACAGAATGATGTCTATCATTTAACCAATCCTGTAGTAATGGGAAAAATGATGAAATTAATGAAGAATCATTTTGTAAAATTTCATTAACATAACGAATTAATTGACAAATTGCTAAAGGATTTCTTAAATTTTTAGAATATTGTTGAATAATTTTTCTTAATGCCATTTTATCATGATTTCTTAAAGTATATAATAAACTTAAAGCATGATATTGAGTGATTAAAGAATCATTAACAAAGACTTCATTAGTTGAAGGGAATGATTTTAATGCTAAGACAGCTTCTTGAGTTTCATTTGTCCATCTTTTAACAACATCTTTTGCAACTGGTAACAGATGATATGAACTAACTAAAGCAGCAGATGAAACAGATGGATGTTTATCAACAATAGCAGTTTTCATCAATCTTTCAGTAGCATGAACAGTTGATCCATCAAGGACTCTAGCTAAAGTTCTAATGGCATTTGGTTTATAAATGATATCACCATTTTGAACATCTTTCATAATTGATGAAGTAACCATTAATACATCATCTGAAATTGCAGATAATTCTTTAATAGCCAAATAAACAATTTGTCTTAATGATGAATCTTTATGTTGAAATAATTTTGAAATTGAAAAAAATAAAGTTGTTGCTTCAGTTTTTGGGAAAGTTTCACCACTATATAATAATCTTAATAATCTTGCAATTAAAGTACGTGATTTTTTAGCATCAACTGGTGAAGCATTGAAAGCTCTTAAACAATCTTGGAAAATGGTCATCTTGTCAGGAATTGCACCTGACTCGACATCTTCAAATTTCTTATAAGTATGTGTAGACATCCTCAATTACCACCTGTTTTGATTAATCTGAATATTATGTTATCTGATATATTTTTTGATCTAGCTGCAACAAAGCCTATTGAAAAGACAAAAACAACACACAAAACCGTAATGTAGCTAATGTAACACCAAACGTCAATCAATGGTCCCAGAACAACTCAAACCAGTGTAATTCCTTATGAGTTCTGTTGCAATTGCTTTGTTGTTGTTTTGAATCTGATCTCGTTTCGTTCTTGATATTCGTGTCCAATATTGAATTTGAAAAACCATTCGCGAACTTTCCTTCCCGCGAAACGACCGGGTAAAATTCAGGGATTTAACACTGGTACTCAGATAGCGCGATTTTTACTATGGGAAAACCAAATTCGCTAACAAAAAAATGACAAAATCAATTTTGAAGTTGAAAATAAAAATTTGAAATTTTTAAGATTTTCGAAAAATTTAAAGAAATTCGCTAAGATTTATGGTGTATTGACATAAAATGTAGGATTACCGTCAACTTATGAAAGTGTTTACTTCAAAATTTGACTTATATGATCTTTAATACCTAAGGTATCTTCATGTTGAATTTCAAGCTTCAATTCGTTTTACTTGTTGTGTTATAAGGTGATTTATCACAATTCGGCATTTTGGTATTCTTCAAAGTCTCGGGATTTTAGATAAGTCCTCTGAATATAGTAAACTTCAAATATGAATCACAAGGAATTGAACACTTCAATTCACTAACTGTTTTCGAATATATGATTGTGAGCCAATGAATATATATACCTATGAGTTTCGAGTGAAAAAAACAATTGCTAGTAGATCCTATTCTACTCTGAAAACAAAACCTTTATTCAAAAATGGGCTCACTTGATGACTCGATTTCTCAGAATTGAAAGTGTTAAAACTCATAGGATTGTCACATACAGGTAATATTGGCAATGAAGAGTTTGTCTATTTTTCTCTTATAAAATGTAAATGATGTTGAAGTATTGATAACTCAATTTAAAAACATGACCTTTGATCAAAATGTGTCAAAAAATCTCAAGTCTTCTCCAGAAAATCAAATCAGGCACCAAATTTTAAAACATCCAGACATCTAGGACAGAATAAATCAACATTAAAATCTTAGATATCTAAAAATCTTAGAAATTTTTAAAGATTTAAATTATTACTTTTACCACAATACCACCACTTCAGCGCTTAAAGACTACAAGCACATTTCAACCTTCAAGTATCACTGGAATCAATTTACCAAGCTTGAGACCCTTGAGACAATCGATGGTTAGTTCCTGGCCAGTTCTAACAATCAAAGTCACTTGGTCTTTGGCTTTTTTGAACCATTTGTTTTATTAAGATTACAATTTACTTACATTTGATCCTTTTAGTTACTCTTTCCAAGCTGTTCAAGATACCAATTTTATACTGATGTTTCATTCTATCGTGTTGTGCAATTCAGATTTGTGATACCCATTTTTTATACACCTTTGCTCCTGTTTTGGATTGCTTATGTTGCTTATGTTGTTGGCGCTTAAGTCTATACCCATTTATGCTGATTTTGTTTGTTTTGGAAGCTATATTTGCTATAAATTGCTATCATATATAACTTTACATCATCTTCTATCAATATACTAACTACAGGTCCATTTCTATTGTCATTGTGGTATTAAAATTGTTGTTTCTTGAGATGATTTTGGCGGCTGAAGGTAAGTTCATTCAAATTATTTAACAATGGTATTCTACAAGGTTTTAAGAGCTTTTATCATTTCATTCTTACTCTTTCTGATACAACAAGGTTTCAAAGACTTGTGTCAACTTCATATTTGATCAATTAGTTATTTAAAAGTTGTGTATAGTGTGTATTATATAGTTATATAGTTATTTTAATTCAAATTAATTCCGACCAAATTAATATATTGTAGACCCTATAAACCTCCAGACCCGAAAAACTACAGAGACTCCAGAGCTCGCTAGACCAGCCAGATTTTATCTTCCAGTCCCTTAAATCGAGCTCAAGATTCGGGTGAAACTTTCTAAAGCCGAATCCTGAGTTCGAATTGCGTCGTGCAACACCATAGTTAAGCGCGAAAGTTACCCATACAAAAAAACGAGCTATCTGAGTACCAGTGTAATTATTAATTATAATAATATATAATTAATTATAATCGATTATTTGAACTCTTATGAAAACCATACACAAGTATAATATTTCATTTTCTTGTTTTTTGAATACGTTATCCAATTTCATGTCACCATGTGATTCTATGTACCCAATAAGTACTATCTTTGTACGTACTACGTACCGGTGATAGAACTTATAAGATATCCAAAATTTGTTTTGAGATTGCAATATGGTTTCAAATACCATGTGCCATGATATCCAAATCAATATACACATATACAATCTGATGGGATTGAAGAGATCATTTAATATGTGATCCTGATATATTCTAAATCAGTTGTATTATACTTATTTTCATATATGATCTATATTCATGTAGTATTATATTACACCGACAATATATATAAACATTTCATAAATTCTTTTTATACCCAGTGAAAAATATATACTATATATGCTAAAAACAGATTATAAATTAGAATACAAAATCAAAAAAGAATACCTTATGATCCTATGATGATGATATTGATGATGATGAAAAAGCAGCTTGTTGATTAATATATATGGAGGATTCGTTTCATGTCATAACAAGTCATATTTCTATATTTTTATTTTTTTGTCTTTTTTTCTATTTCATTGTTGTTCTTTAAACTTTCTTTTCTTTATTGTTGTAAATTTTGAGCCTGTTGTTGACCTTCATAATCACCTAAATTTAATAATAATTGAGCTAAACATTTTTTAGAACTTGTATCATCTTTTAAAGCTTGATGGAAAGTTTGATCTTTTAAAGATTCTGGTAAACATTTTCTTAATGCAGTTCTTGCATCTGGATTATCACTTAATCTTAAATAACATCTAACAACATGTTTTAATAATCTTGAACCTTCTTGAGTTAATAATTGATCAACCATTGCTTTTAATACTGATGCAACTGCTGCAAATCTTTCATAAGTTTGACAAACATATGCTAATCCTGCATCATCAACAAGAATTTTTTGAACAATAAATATAGCAACTGTTTTAGATAATTCTGATGATGATTCCATAATTCTTAAACATAATGGAATAATTTCAGTTGTTAATAAAAATGAAATAACTTCAGGTGTATCATTTTTAACTAATGCTCCAATAACTCCTAAACTTGTTAATCTTAAATATTCAAATGGACGTTGTTTAGAATTTGTATTTAAAAATGGATATAAAAATAATGGAATATGTGCATTTAAAAATAAATTTCTTGTTTCTTGATGTGCTGCAACACATTGTAATAAAGCTAATGCATTACAAACTCTACTTGATGCTGCTGAAGTTAAATTTGGTGGTGATAATAATGGATAAACTGATACTATTTCATCTAATAATGAAGTCATAACACCAAATGAATTCCATAATACTATTGGTAAATCATCATATTGTTCTCTTTTTTTACCCAATTCTAATAAAGCTTGTTCACGATTTGGGCCATAAGATAATTCAACTATCCATTGATAAACATTTTTATCATCTAATGCTCTTGGACCTTCTGAAACTGATGTTGCTAAACTTGGTTGAGGTATTTGACTTGAAAGACCTGTTGAAGTCATACCTGATGGTATTTGTTGTTGTTGATCTTGTGGAAATCCTGAATTAATCAATTGTTGTGGGACTGAATGAGGTGTTAATGATTGTTGATGTAATTGTTTAACTGGATTAATTGGACTCGCAGTTTGTTGTTGTTGTAATAATGGATTATTTTGATTAAATGGTGGGAATTGAGCTTGATTTAATATAGGTTGATGTTGAGGTTGTTGAGATAAAGTGTTCATAGCACTATTTGGCAATGGATTAGATAAATTGAATGGTTGAGAGATGTTTCTTTGTTGTGTATTTCCTTCTGAATAAATTGGACGTTGTTGCTGATACATTATCAGACCTTATAAAAAACAAAACACCAATAATTATAATCTTTTTTTTCTTGTTTTTTTAAATATATATCTATAAGTTAAAAAATCAATTTTAATATCAATATTAATATTCACTTTTTTAGTTGTATTATCAATTACTTTTCTTTCCACTTTACTTAATTTGTTTCATTTCTAGTCACAGCTTTTTTTTGCGGTTGATGAAGTTTCGCCTTTACGCGATCAAGATTTTAAAAAGCAAAATTCCGAGGGGAAGAAAAGTCACATGAAAATCACATGTACACCGAGGGCAGTTATCTAGTATAAACTTTTTGATTCTCATTCAATTTTAAACACTTTTATCAACGCTCAGTGGGTTCACATGAATAGTCAACGAGTCAATGCTTGGATTTATGAGATTGGATAGCTACAAAATTTGGGGGTAGAGAGATTGAATTTTAATTCAGCCAAAAAAAACAGTGCCCTGATGTTCCTTTAAATCACGAACCATATAAGGTTCGTTAGGATCATTGATGAACATGTAATTACTAGAATTGAATTAAGGTTTCAAAGGAACAGTGGGTTAACTTCCATACACGATCAATTATAACTGTGATGATCTTTTTCATTGAATACACGAAACTATACTATGGTAAGCTAGATATCAAATCCAAAAGTTCTGTTAAGTAACTAGACATGCTAGACACCCTTATAAGTTATAATGTTATAATGACCACGATGTTAACCTACAGGTTTAACGTTTCAAGGTGTATGTGAACTTTTGCGATATTAAACAATTAATTTGCAGGGATTTAAACTGGTAAACTTTAAACTAGATCTTCAGATTCAAGGAGACTTTGTGTTTCTGTTAATTCAACCGGAGTACTGTATACACATGAGTAGCTTTAAATTATACCACTATAATCTATCGTGTGCAATCTGTTTTATATCGATTTCAAGGAATATATACCATACCCCAGAAGTAGCGATAGAGAATATTTACCAGGTACTTGTGTGCTTGGTATATATAATACTATAGGATCTATCGGGTTCTAATTAAATATATATTGTAATATTTCCCTTATACTATATGAGCAGTGAACACTTATTGAACCCTTTTAAATTTCAAAAATGAAACATTTTGATTTGTGTATTTAAAAACATAGAGTTGAAAACATGATATAACAAAAGCAGCACGATGATCGATCATTAAAGATCTTCATGAGAGAATTGAATTTGTAACAAAATAAATTGATAATTCGTGAATCAATGAGAATTTTTTCGCGATCATATATACTAAACAAGACCGGGAATTTACAATTCAACATATTTTTGACGTTATTGGCGTGAAAAGATAAACATTCAAAAAGTTTAAAACCCTAAAAATAGATAAGAATATCAACAAATCGATATACAAGATAAGTAGATGACCCCTTTGAATACTTGCAAAACATGGACATATATTAACCATAACCCTTACATAATAACTATAGACTCAATTTTAATTCAATATAAACTGTTTACAAGTTGTTTGATACTCTCAACACCTCAACTTCATATCAAAAGACCTAATGATTTTTAAATTTTTTGCGAAATGCGTTTTCCATGGCGTTCTGCCAAATTCCCTAAAACAGAACTAGATTTGTTTTGGGAAACAAGGCGCGCATCCCGATTGGGAAACTACCATAGTAACTTAAATTTATGACACTACCATCTAATATTTTCTTAAAGTTATGCGTTAATCATAAAAAAATTCCCAACTCTACGGATCATCAGTTTATGTGTGTATAAATACAATGAGAAATCCGCCTCTTTTGTTATTTTTTTAATTCTTCTCATTTCTCTTCTTTCTTAATTCATATATTCATATACCCAAACTAATAACATAATATAAAATGTCTGACGCTGTTGAAAAGAAAGTTGAAGAAACTGTCCAACCACAAGTTGATGCTGTTGAATCAAAAGCTCAAGAAGTAACTGAACAAGTTCAAGAATCTTCAGAAACTGCTCAAAAAGAAGCTACTGAAACCGCTGAAGAATCAAAAGATAAAGTTACTGAAACCGCTGATGAAGCTAAAGAAGATGCTTCTAAAAAAGTTGATGAAGTTAAAGATGCCGCTAAAGATGCTAAAGATGAATTAACTACTAAAGAAGGTGAAGCTCCAGCTGCTAAAAAATCAATTTTAAAAAGATTTGTTGCTAAATTGAAATCAATTGTTTCAAGTATCAACTAGATTCAATTGAATATGTTTTTTATTTGATATGTCTACATATATGAAATGGTTTCTCATGTATCGTATGATGATTTTTCGTCAGGGCGGTTAATGCTTCAAGGTGTCAATTTTACTATTATACATGGTAACGCTTTATATATTCATTTGGAATTACAATCAAAACAATATTTCAATTTTTAATGCTGGTTTTGTTTATTTTTATATATCATGATGGTTTTTTATTTATTTTGTCAATCATTTCCCTCTTTAATTGAGCTAGAAGAATTTTTCTAATAACTAATACAATAATAATTCAATAAAATAATTCTTCTACATACGTTGAATTGTAGACTGAATCATCAAAGCATTCAAATCGTTTTAGTTTTGTTTCAAACATTAATGCGGCTAGTTATACATTCTTTGAAACCCCTAGCGCTTGTTTACAGATTTTCTACGAGAATATCACGCGTCAGAATGTTTTAAATTTTGATATATAGCCTCATATTAAAAAAATCGACCAATTTATAACTAGACATTATAGATTCCCTAATATTCAGATACAACAACAACTAATTGTTGACTAGTAGCCTCTAGCCTCTAGGTTCAAAATTTTCACTGAAATATGTTTCCATTCATGTAATTGAATGTACATGGTTCATTCTCTAGACAAAGCCCGCACAAATATGTCAATATTTTAGCTGGCCAGCGCCTAAAGCCTTACAAGAATAGAACGTTCAACGTATAGTTATCCAACAAGGATTAAATTTAAGAAAAAGACATCTATATGAGTACTTATTGATGGTCATAATACTTTACAAGAGAGCCACCTTGTTACTTAATTGATCTTTACGATTCATCATGATGAATTAAACACGTAGTTAATATATATGCCCTTATTCAATTTTACAAAATTTTGACGTGTCTTTGAACAGTTATGCATATGGTTTCAGAAAAAAAATTTCAACGATTCTGGAATCTTGCAAGATGCATGTATAGATTCTAGCTCTTTCCAATCGCACAAAGGTTCAAAGCTATACTTTTTGGGTCTTACTACAAAGGCTGTTGATATAATTCAATAATATTAAGTGTTTGAACTGCAATTCAATTTAATACATAGTGGCGTTATAATCAAAAAATTCTAACAACAATAATGAACTGATCATATATCTTTTCGCAAAATCAAAACAAAAATGTAAAAAAAAAAATATAAAATTCCGAAAAATGCAAGTTTTTACGCAATTATTTTTACAAGATCTCATAATTTCCTAATTCAGACAAAAATGACAAAAAGTGGCAAAAACTTGCACCGCAATCGCGAAATAATTACTTAAAAATTGAAAATATTTTGAGGCCAAGTTAATAAGATGAAAATTATACTAATTATTTGGGATGATTCTTTAAAAGTCAAGTAATTGCAATTTGCGATACAAATAGTTAAATCAAAGATCAAGCTATAGTCCAACTATCAATACGGGCATAACACTTAATTGACGGTAAAATCCTATACAATAATGCAAGTCTTCAACAATCCATCAACTTATGTTAAAGGATAGTATAGTCTCTTATATAATATTTGAAATTATTTAATTATTTGACATAACCTTGATGATCTGTGTATATATTATTGAAATACTTCATGGTCATATCCATTCATGATCACTTATGAATTATCAAGTACTTATATATCCAATATGATTTATAATCTTTTCCAAAACAAAGATAAAACTTTATCAATTTATTTGGGAAAGGTATATAATGGTTGTTAAACTTGTCAGATTGCCATTTGCACCCACCCATATTTATCCCTTTCGAAAAAGTTCATAAATAGGGTCAAGATCATCGCTCCTTTAATAAAACAATAATAATCTCCAAAGGAAACAATATTGAATATAAACAAAAAGGCAAAAATTAAAATAGATGACTAAACCGCTAAGGATTATAGACAAGCTAAATCAATATTCTCACTCTAGGGCACAAAGGTATACAACTCATCAACCAAGTTGGATTCAGTGGCTCGTTTGAAGAGTCAAAGAGGGACGTAAACTATAGAAATGATCCTACTGTTGGAAAATGTGTTAGTATTCTGAAATCTTCTTTATGATCCAAAGTTATGGGTATAATACATACTGAAGTACGTCGACAAAGAAATTTAAAAAAGGTAAAAGTTATAAAATTTTGGGGGATTTGATTTCTTATATAGTATTTGAAAAAATTTCTTGCGTAATGCACGATAGAAATTGACAGTGAATATTCGCGCATTTTATTATACTAATAAATTCAGGGCATCTTAAAATTTGAGGTATAAAAGATATTGAAAAGCTGGCCGATACAACTATAATTACTTATTATAACGAGATCATTACCTCAATTATTTAACCGCTACTCTTTGAGAGTATATCAAGGTATGAGTTGGTAATTTATCTGCCATATGTGTTCATGATCACATAGTTAATTGCACATGGAGGTTGAATCATGAGAAGTTTATACCAAATATGGTATATACGTGAAAAAAGACAGATTTCTCGATGAAAGATTATATCAGCTTGCCTTTTGATCTTTCTCTATAATGAATTACAAATGATTCATTTGGTTAACTCTGCTATTAAAAAAATTGGTACAAAATGTTTGATTGGGTAAACTCATATATTTATGGTAACACTAGTAGAAATTCAATTAATGATGAGCTTAAATTTGACATATCTTCAAATGAAGCCATAGAATATTTCCAAACCTTAACTATCGAAGAACTCAAAGAACAATTTGAACTTCATTTTGCGCCAGTTAAAAGTCAATTGAAGAATTATGGAATTGTTCGTTGTGAATCCAAGAAATTTTGTTCATTAATTTTAAATGATAATCTTTCACCATCTTTCAAAATGAATCATATATTTGATATAGTTTGTTTTAACTTATCTGGTTATGAAAAATGCTTTCTTTATCTCAGACCTAAATATGGATCGAATTGGTCTAAAAAGAAGATCAAATTTATGGAGATCATAAGTGCACATTTGAATATTATTATCATAAAGAAGAAGAGTATAACATTAGATGATGTTATTTCTGATCTAAAAATCAAAATTAATTGTTCAATGGATCAAAGAATTTTAATCCCTGATAATCACCGTGAACAAGAACCTCTATATATCATGTACAACCCAAAATCAGCAATGAATTTTTATCAAAATGTTGAGAATCTTTCTAAAATGACTCAAATGATTGATTTATATAAATCAAGAATTGAGAATAATCCATGGCAAAGTTATACATTAATTAAAGTTGTACCTAAATTACATCATCATAATGATGTTAATGGTGGAAATGTATTTAATTCAAATAATTTTTTACAACATCATGAATTGGATTATAACAAACCCAATGAAGTATTTATCTTTATTGATACAGCAGCTGATGGACTTCGTCAAAGCCATTATAAAAAAATTATCAAACCAATTAATTCAGCTAAATCAATTTACAGGTCTTATCATACTTTAAAATCTCCTAAAGAGATGTTAATTCAGATTTTGGGGGAAGATTTCAAAAGTTGGTTTTTTTATATGCAAGAGTTACTAATCAATAAACATTTGAATATTGTTGAAAATAGAAATAGAAGACCATCATATTTCAAAGGATCAGCTAGAATTCATCCAGATTCAAATATTTCTGAATTTGTTCAAGTTGGATATAAATTGAATTTATCAAATGAATATATAAAATCAGTTTGTATGTCACCTGGTATCTTACCTAGTTATGATGAGATTTCTGGGTCATGAATTTGTATATAGAAGTGACATGATTTAGATATATAACAAATATTTGTAGAAGTAACGTCGGTCCTGGTGAAGCTGGTGATGTTTTAATTAGACATTTGTTAATTGGTAGTTGGTTCAGATACGCAACAGTATAGGCTATGTATCCATGACACAATGTAACTTCAATAAACTTGACTTTGAATTCTTGAATGTAATCTGATTAATAAGGCATGACATTTGATCTAATAAACTTTTATAACATTTGATAAAAAATTTGATCAATGATAATCCTTGTGGTTGTTAATAACTTGATAGATCTCTTACTAATATAAATTCGATTTAATTATAACGATAATAGTGAATGGATTTGATGATAAGAAGCTTTCTTTGTAGTAATAATTGATAATTCTTTAATAATTGATTTTCTTTGTAAATTGACTTTCTCTCTAAAATATATGACAATAGTTCTGTGATATTTGCTAATAATTGGTGAGAATTGAGAAGAGTTAATCGTAATTAACAGTAATTGATAATAATTGATAATGATTGATAGTAATCTATAGTGAATTCATAATTATTCCTTCAACAATTGATATGAAGTCTTAATTCTTGTCAAAATAGTAATGGAAGATGATTCATAACTTCATAGTCTTTTGATTTATTGATCTATTTTAATGAATTATAATTACCAGTAAAATAACTCTTATTATAATATTTGAATAGATATTTTTGATTTCTATAGTCAAATTAACCTTAATGACAGCCTCATTTTTTTGAATTTGATATTCATAGATCATTATATACCTCGATAACTATATTTAAAAGTCATTAATAATTTGATAATTGGATTGATAAAATTAACTAAGAATAATTTGATCTGTAGTAACTTCCATGTAAGCCTGTAATATAACTTGATTCAATATTTGAAATAACATACAATTCACATCTTATAGCTTGAGCATTTGTTCGAATCTTATATTTTATTTAATATGAATCGTAGTAATATAAAATTCCTTGAGTATATTTTTGTGTCATAGTGATTTTCATGATTGTAAAGTCTCTTTTTAAATCTCGTTCTTATACTTAATAATACAATATAATATTCGGTCTTCTAATATGACATTGTAATAATCTAATCTTAAATACTGTAAGTACTTTTATCTTCTTTTGAACAATTTCAACATCTTCAATTTTTGACATGGGCATGTTTATTTTTAATATGTGCAATTATATTGTATATCTTTAAGCCATGGTAGCTCATGGAATTTAAAGTGTACCTGCAC